CGCTGTCCCTCAGCTCTTCAGCTCAAGGCTAGTGCTCTACCACTTGAGCCACAGCGCCACTTCTGGCTTTTTTCTTTTTGCTTATGTGGCGCTGAGGAATCGAACCCAGGGCCTCATGCATGCAAGGCAAGTGCTCTACCACTGAGCCACCTTCCCAGCCCCAAATCTTTCTTGTTTTAAGTTGACTTTTCTTGGATACTTTACGATAGTAATAGAAAGCTGCATAACACACTTATGATAGAAATAATTAATGATATATTTAGATTTATTTTTGGAACTTATATTGTTCTTTTTATCCAAATTTTTTCTCATATTGTCTTCTTTGGATGTGAAGAGCTTATTCACTATGTTCTTCTCCTTTGTACTATGTCAATTATACTCTATTCTTCCTTGTTTAATTAAAAATTTTATTATGTAAATTTACCTTATTGGAGTCTGTGATTAAATATTTCATTCCCCCCATTAACAATACAAAGTGCATAAAAACCACAATGAAATATAAGAGTGTGCCTCCTAATTTATAAACCAGTATTACATATTTTTGTTCTACATGGTCAGTGTTTAGACTGATCACATTTACACTGTGTTCAATATATCTTCTATATCTCATACTGTCCCTTTGCCAAAAATATGTTCTGCTTTCAAGTACATCTTTAGAACTCCTTTTAGCACTGGACTGAGTGTTGGTAGCAAATTCTGTTGGTCTTCCAAGTTTTCCTAAAATATATCTGTATTTCTCCCTCATTTCTCTCTCTCTTGGAAACCAATCTAATGGTCTCTACAATTCTCAGATAGGAATAACTCCTTGAGCATGCTGAAGGGTGTTTGGTAAGACTACGCAGTCCATGATAATGTGGAAAATGAGTCTGCAATCAATTTCAATGATTAATTTTTAAACTAGAGTAAAACAGTTTATTTTAGAAATGGTAGGACAAAGGTACAAGAACATCTGCGTTCTTGAAAACATGGGAATGTTATCATACCTCTATTACAGTTAAAAAAAAAGGAAGACAGAAATAACCCAGAACACTAAAATTGAAAATAACCAACTTACCATGCTGCTTAGATTTCTTTTTCTTTTTCTTCTTCTTTTTCTGTTTTGGTTTGTAGTGATCTTTGTCTCGCTTCTCTTTTCTTTCCTTATCCTTTTCTTTCCTCTTTCCTAAGAGATAAAAGTGAATACTTCAATAATCATGAGAGACTCTGAATTATTCCTATATGGTTAGCCTAAAGCACATTCATGTTTTCATCAGCTATTCCAGTCACCTGCCCGGAGTGGATGGATTCAATTAAAGTGTTCCTGTCAGAGTCTGGAACTCCTGCTTAGCTTACTGGACTATAAGAGGGGATCTTCATTAGCAGTGTTGAGATATCCCAACTCCTGACACCTTGAAGTTAACACAGACAGTAGTTAAAACCTTTATATGAGCTACAGACTAAATTTCCTGATATGTGGCATGAAGATAAACCTCATGTTTTAAAAAGACCTCACTAAAAAAAGCATTTGCATATGTAATCTAATAAAATTATTCAATTATTTTTAAAAATCTGAATTTTTCTCTGAAAAAATCAATTAAATCAATCCATAAATAGCTCCTTTCATATTTAAATTTTTTCTTCTTTGTACATGAAAACTAAAAACATATAGGGAAAAAATACTTATTTCATGATATACTATTTTGCCCCAAAATGTAAAGCATTTTTTACCCAACCACATATACATAAAAGAATAAGTGGATTATACAAAGTATTCTAGAACATTATATTTAAATTTAAATCATAACATATACTCTAGTAATTCCAGCCCATAGTGGTTAAGCCCACAATTTGTCAACCATATTTAGCCAACTTTCAGTGACCAAAACTTCAGTTAGCTAAGCTAAAGGATATTTAAGACTCATGCAGTATTACATGCCTCTATTTATTATACCAGAAGACAGAAATCTTAGGGGAAAAAAATCAATAACTTTTTAAATAAAGAAAACTGAACACCTAAAAATCAATCATTCGAATTTCTAATGTATTATCCATTTGGTAAATCTCAACAATATTAAATGAAAGCTTGTTTTTAAATAGCCATCCACAATTTTAAGTAAAAATTTTCAGAAACCTGGGTTTTTTTTAAAGACCAGAGATTTCCTTGAAATCAAAGCACATATATAACTACAAGATATGCACTAAAGAACTATTGTTATCTGAAGCCAAGTTACACTGATAAGGATGGAAGCAGATGATTATGAACAGTATAAGGAGCCCTATCAGGGAAGGAAGAGAAAGACTCTGCCCTCCATCTCTGTTAATCTTTTGCTTAAAGATTACATTCTGTCCATACCAAATGCAGTTGAGCTTTTTTCTTCCAATTTCACTTTTTTTTCTGGTTTTGATATTCCTGTAGGTTGGAGGGGAAAAATAAATGTTCAATTAGAAAGATAAAATATGGCACAATGTTTTAAATTACGCTAGCCTCAACTAATAATAAAGAATTGAGATTTCTTCAGAAAATTGATAAACTGCAAGTGATTTCTGTTGCTTTGGACTATATAGATTCTAATCCTGGCCCCGCAATTTACTAGCAAGATGGCCTTAAGTCTGTCTCTGTACTTCAGTATCCTTAAGTATAAAATACAGGAGTATTTAGCTCTGTGTTATAAGGGTTATCTGAGGTAAAATAGGTAAACTTCTCAGGCTAGTTTCTGGTACTGATACCATTTACATTCTTTTTTTGTAGTAGAGCCATAATCTAAGACTATATCAGTATACAAATAGCATAAACATGGGTCTAACCAAAACAAAGTTTAAGATAAAGGCCTAGGCTGTCAGTGAAGGTCTATTGCAATACCATAGTCTTTGGCAATCCAGAAGATGAAGTTTATTTGAATAATGAGACTAGATTTTTACTTCTGCTTCTGTTACACTTTTAACATGAATACTTTTCTAAACATTGAAATTAAATATTAAAATTTTATATTAAAGTATTGAAACTTCCTACTCAAGAACACTGGTTTTCAAAAACATAAAAAATGTTTAAGGACCTATTTAAGCTCTTGTTGCCTAAATCCAACTAATACCTTTGAATTCTATCATAACTTATTGTTAGGTAAGGATAAGAGCCAAAACAGAATTATTTTCTTAATCATTTTTATCTATATCAGTGTAAAATACAAAAACTTGTATGTGTAAATATATATATATATACATATATATATATCATGACAGTTATTATATAGTAATTTAAACTACCTTTTTTAAATATTGTAGCTCACTAACCACATAACTAAATGACATAGATGCTCTCAACCAAACTATTCAACTCATACTCAACATGATCTATGGCGTGGGTGAAGCCTAGAAAAATTCTATTGTGCATGTAAAACACAATTTGTATATGGCTTTATTATCACCATTTACTAAGATTTATTTTAAAAATCATTCTACATCATCAGTATCAAAATTCTAGCATTTCAGTTCATTCAAACATCACATATATAATTTAAACATAAAAACAAAAATACCACTCAAATCAAATGTCAAAAGGCTCTAGTAAGTTTCATATTAATAATTACATTGATAACCAGCTTAGTCAAATCAGAAAAACTGAAAAGGGATATAAGAACAAACAGAATACAATTAAAATTTCATTGTTAGCATGACAACTGAATATATGCATCATTTCTTTCTGTCTATTAATTACTGATAATTAAATTGCAAAATTTATGGACTTAAAAATGAAGAGCTTATATTCAAACAGTGATAAGTGTGCTTTCTAAACAGTTTCTTGCAGCAGAAGTATGCTCAAAAGTACGACTTGACAGTAACTTTTCTTTCTTAGGCTCCTCTTCTCTGGAGCACTGGATCTCTAAGGTAAAAGTGGAAAAATTGTGAATCTTGGAATCCCTTAAGAAGGGTCAAGTGCCACAGAAAATCAAGGTGAGTTATTTCAGACAGTGGTATGTGACTACCTTGGATACATGAAGGCTAAATACTAAAATGGCTACAGGGCCACTGCTGTAGAGCACAGATGATACAACAGAATAGATACAGTCATTCTGGGTACTTGTAATAGAGTAAACCTCAGAGGCCATTTGGCCCAGATTTTTTCCATTATATAGGTGGTCAAACCTAAAAAGCAAAAGAAGGATTTGACACTGACATTTGGGGTTTGACAATTGACAAGAGGTTGTGAATACTTCACCCAAGAATATAAAAATAAATATTTAGACAGGCAACACAGGCAGGACTTCTAGATTGTCACAAACAGAAAACCAAAATGGACTTATAGAATTGAATGAAAGAACATATTTGGTTTGATAAGAGTTCACTATTGTTCTTACTTTACTATGTGCTAGAAATATAAAGTATAACTATTTCAATAATATATATGATTATGATATTTAAACTAAATTTTACCAAGAAAACATTTTCTTCAAATAACTATTATGTAGCAATCTAACAGAGAAGCAAAAAGAGTAGAGTGATTGAAGCTAATGTTATAAAAGTCAAAGATAGAGATCTCTGATTACTCTTGCTAACATCCAACTTCAAACTTAGAAGTGTAGAGTGAATTCTCAAACTCTTCCAGAGTACTAAATGTCTCAGTTTCTTTTGGCTACAAAGAGACAATCCCAGACACTCCCCATGTAAATCCCAATTCTGAAGAAGCCGTGAACATTTGGTGAGAGGGTGGAGGTACATTACAGAATCTCGTATTGCAATTTCATTTTGAGTAATTCTGGAAAGTAAATTGAAAAAGATGGTAAAACCTTAAAAACACTTTTAAATAGTAAGCGTGTTGTTAACATGAGAAACTGAAATAGAAATGAATGCAATTTTAAAACTAGCCACAGTTAAGTCAACTAGAGTTTTCTGGTCATGCTTTTCTGTCCTACTACCTCAACTAACCACTAAACCCAGGATCTACTTCTGTTTTGTGCATTAAAAAATATTATACAGCCAGGTGCCAGTGGTTCATGCCTATAATCCTAGCTACTCAAGAAGATGAAATCTGAGAGTCTTGGTTCAAAGACAGCTTGGAAGGAAAAGTCTGTGAGACTCTTATCTCCAATTAACTACCAAAAAGCCAGAAGTGGAGTTGGGGCTCAAAGTCATATAGCACTACCGTTGAGCACAAAATCTCAGGGATAGTGGCCAGTCCCTATATTCAAGCCCCAATACTAGTACCCCCACAAAAACAAAAAGTATTATATGAACTAATCAATAATATGGACTTATGGACTCTTAAAGAGGATTCCTTAAGAACATCCAACTATCTTAACAATAATGACAAATTATATAATATTTATTTATTTATATCTACATTTCATTTAAAAACTTACTGATGAAGTAATTTTGAATAAGAGAAAACTTAGTGAATGCCATCTAAAGCTAAATTTAATTTGCCCAAAATTTAGTGGCCTGCTAATTTCTAAGGATATTTGAAAATTGTAAATGAAAACTTAATAATTCTACCACATGTAGTTTTTATCTTTGGAATAAACAGACTTCATCAGATGTATGACTGATTATATAATACACCAAAATTTAGAGCACCAAAGTGACCTGAGACATCACTTACTAAAATCTTCTAATTATATAGATGAAAAGTTGAGATTCAAGGAAGCAGATTAGCATTTTTGCTGAAAGAAGGTAAGAGAGTACATGGGTGATCCTTTCCATGGTCGTCAAGGCTCTCCTGCCAATCTGGCTAAAATAATCCAAAGCACCTTTCTCTGTCTTAGCCCTCCTGAGAGCACATTATTTTCTCCCTTTGCACCCAAGAAAACTCTATACTTCTATGGGATATATACATCTTGTATTAAAATAGTTACTTATAAATATATTTCAGCTACAAATTTTGTGATCCTTCTAGATTTTAAGTTTTCTGGGGGCAGCTCATATACCTTGACATATTGTGATCTTTACTTCAAGACAGAATTTTAACAATCAACAGATATATGTGGGCCTGAGGACACAAACAATGTCTCTTTGTTCTTTAATTTTTTTAAAAGTCTATTTTATGGAAATTTGATCTACTTTGCATTCCCAGATATTAACTTTCCTGAGATACTGTCTCTATTTCAAAGTAGCTGGAACAAGTTCTGGTAAATAATGCTTTATCTAGAAGTTTTAAAATTGAATAGTAGCAAAGATTACTTTTATAATTAAAATTAATATCAACCAAACAAATGCACATGTACATGTGCCCATACACATATATAAAGTGGAAGCAAAAATACATAAAATCTGTTTTTTCTGACTCCAGATATAAGATGTAAGAAGCAAACAGAAGTAAAAAAAAAGTACTACAAAATAACACAGATGATGTAAAAGTCAGAGTAAGAAAGTTTTGATGGGTATTGCATTGAATTTGTAGATAGTTTTGGCAGTGTTGCCATTTTCATGATGTTAATCCTTCTAGTCCAGGAGCATAGAAAGTTTTGCCATTTCCTTAAATCTGCTTTAATTTCTTTTTTCAGACTTATTAAGTTTTCATTAATAGAAGTCCTTCACATCTTTGATTAAGTTAATTTCTAGCGGTTCTTTTAATTTTATTTTTTGAGGCTATTACAAATGGAGTTGCTCTCCTCATTTCAGTCTAGATCTTTAAATCAAAACAACATTGAGATGCCACTTCATCCCCAGTTAGTATGGCCTCTATCAAGAAAACTAACAATAACAGAAGCTGGTGGGGATGTGGCCAAAAGGGAACGCTACTATACTGCTGGTGGGAATGTAATCTTGTTCAGTCACTCTGGAAAGCAGTATGGAGGTTCCTCACAAGACTACACATAGTTTACCTATTGTAAGGTATGTTAAATAGGTAGGTTTCATTAGTTAGCCAATGAAGAGAACACCAGGCCATATTCAGGCCATATTCAGAAGCCCCCCCCCCTCCACCCCCAACCTCCGCCCTACATGGTGAAGAGGCGTGGCCAGGTGGAGAGAGCCCCAGGCCAGGGCTTATCTAGGCCAGGGATGGGAAAGGTATGGGGAGGGGGGGAAGGTGTGCCCACACTGGTTCCAAATGTGACCTCAAGGCCTGGGACCTTCCTAAGGTCAAATGGGAGGCATGACCAGGATGTGACCTAGCAGGAGAGGTGACTGCTTCCAGGTGTGCCAGTTACCTAGGTAATACCGATAATGGACGGAAACTTATCCAAAAGGTAGGGAGGTACAAGGCCTGCATGGCCTGGGGCAGACTTTACACCTATGACCCAGCAATTCCACTTCTGCACATTTATCCAATAGACCACAAATAAAACCACACTAAAGCTACCAGAACAACCATATTCACTGCAGCATTGTTTACCATAGCCAAGACATGGAATTAACCCAGATGTTCCTCCATGGACAAATGGACCAAAAAAATGTGGTATATATACATAATGGAATTCTATGCTTCCATCAGAAAGAATAATATTGCACCATTTGTAAGGAAATGGAAAGACTTGGAAAAAATTACATTAGCTGAAGTAAACCAGACCCAAAGAAACACGGGTTACATGGTTTCCATCATTTGTGGTAATTAGAATGTGTCTATAAATCTACAAGTTAACACAATGGATAGTAAAAATTAAATTTGGACATGATAAATTACACAGGACTCTAAACATTCACACAGTTAGAACAAAGGAAGATATTCTTAGGAGATGATCACAAAGGCTCAATAGCTATACGCATATGATCATATAAAATGATGTTTATCAAAATGAATTCCAAGAAATGGAAACAAAGAGTTGTTATTTTGTTTGTTGTTTTTCTCTCCTCTGTGGCTGTTTTTTATTTCTGTACATTTTATCTTGTTTATCTGTTTTGAGGAGAATGAAGGGGAACACAAAAATAGTGTAACAAAGGGTGAAAAATTGAAGTAGATACTATGTTGGAAATGAACTATACAACTTGTGGGGGAGGAGTTCAGGAGGGAAAAACAGAGAAAACAAGAGAAGAGGTGACATTGTTCAAAAAGAAATGTACTCATTACTTGATTTATGTAACTGTAACCCCTCTATCCTTTACCTTTAAAAAAAAAAGCAAATCACTTAGAATTTCAGTATAAGTGAAATAGACTAACTTTTAATTTTTTTAAGTGTCTAATTATATATGACAAGAAAAAGCCAGGCACCTATACAGGCTCATCCTGTACTTCTATCTACGTGTAAGGTTAAGATTATAAAGACTGCAGTCCCAGATTAGCAAGAGAGAAAGGTCCTCAAGACTCTGACTCCACAGATGGAAGCTGATCTTGATGGCCCTTGTTTATAGTCTCAGCAACTACAGCAAGCCTCAAGTAGAAGATCACAGCTCAGGTGGGACAGTTGGGTGAAAAGACAAATCCAATCCTAAAATAACCAGTAAAAAAAAGGGCTGGAAACATGACTCAAAAAGTAAATCATTAGCCAAGCAAGTATAAAGCCCTGAACTAGTACCATTAAAATCTAGTACCGTTAAAAGACAAGATGTAAACTCCATTATCTTCCTCTCAAAAGTAAAAAAATTAAGAAGTCATAGAATCAAACTGAAAATCTACTTCCTCCTATTATGATAAATGTAAGCTCCTCCCTTACTTTCTACTTTTCACTTTCCTAGGAAACTGCTTTACTACTTTTATTTTCAAATAGTCACTGTTAATATCTGAAAAGGCAAAGACTTTATTTAGTAAGTTTCCTCTACCTTAGTATGTTTCAATTCATTGTGAATAAGAACCACCTCCCCCACAAGATAGCCAATCACCTCTCTACAAATATGCTAGAAAGTTTTGGAGGAAAAGCTAAACTCTTTTTCGAAGCAAAATCTCCTGGATCAATTTGATTTTGAAATAGGGATACAGGTGGACCCATTGCAACAATGAGATGTACAAGACTTTATGTCGAAAAAAGAACTTTACAACTTTGTGGGGGGAGGGATGGGAAGGTAGGGGAAACAAAGGAGGAGGCAACAATGCTTGATAAGAAATGTACTCATTACCTTGCTCATGTAATTGTAATCCCTCTGTACAGTATTTTCACAATAAAAAACTTATTAATTAAAAAAAATCTCCTGGATCAAAGATATCCATACCCAATCACTACTTCATCTTTTGAGCATATTATGATTGAGCTGACACCTCTTAGTTGTAACAAGGCTATTTAAATTGAGCTGTAGTTCAGTCATATTACTATTTTAAGGACAATATAAATATGTTCACATATATACCTAAAACTAATTTTCCTAATGGATATGCATCATTATGACCATAAATATTTTATATACTTAGCACCGTATCAAACATAAGACTTAAAAAACTGAGTAAGATCTTTATCAGAAAAAAATCTCAAAAGTAATTAACCAGTCTTGTGGAGGAAGGGGGAAATAGAATTAATTTTTCCAATAAAGTACAAGGTTTAAAAAATTAAGTGAAAGGTAATGGATCAATTCAAGAAAGTATAAGAAATGTTTCAAAACTGATCAATTTTCAGGTCGACATTTTCTTTTTGTTAAGCGATAAGTAAATTCTATCCTGTATAAAACAACTTTGAGCTCCACAGATAAAATGGAATTATAAGTAGCTTTATGCAACAGTATGGCATCTTTACTATGAAAAGAGAAATGAGAAATTGAAAGCAGTAAACTATATTTCTTAAGTTTTATCTTTTTTTCAATATATACCATGACTACAAATAACAACCCTTTATCCTACTCTTTAAAGGTTGGTACATATAATTATTAATAATACAATTGGCTGCTTTATTTTCTCCATTTCAGAACTTATTCAATTCAGATCCTTTTATCCAGCCAATATTAAAAGAATACTCCAAGATATGGAAACAAGAGGTTTATCTTTTTTGCTGGTATTTTAAATGTATTATGTGAAGTTACTTCTTTTTTTCTTTCATTCTTTTTTCCCTACGGTATATCCCCTATTGTCACTGTATTTGATTTTGGTACCCTGGGTATTGTATATATGTTTATCTGAATTAGGGAAGGGAAGGGTAACAAAAAAAAGTGAGACAAAGGACAAAGGTCGAACCAATGCAACAGTAATACTCACAGGACAGTATGTTGGAAATGAACTTTACAACTTGGGAGGGATGATGAGGGGAAGGAAAAGTGGGAGAAAAACAAGGGAGGGGGTAACAATGTTCAACACAAAATGTACTTACTACCTTATATACGGTAAGTGTAAACGCTCTGTACATAACCTTAACAATAAAATTAAAAAACAGAATACTTAAATTATATGGTATGAATTGCCATTCTGTCAGTTTTAAAAAACTTAGTAGAATACTGCATCCTGATACAAAAATAAATAAATAAATAACAAGCCAGGTACTGGTGGCTCACACTTAAAATGTTAGCTACTCTGGAGGCTGAAATCTGAGGATCACAATTCAAAGCCAGATTGGGCAGGAAAGTCCATGAGACTCTTACCTCCAAGTAACCACCATAAGCTGGAAGTGGAGGTATGCCTCAAATGGTAGAGTGCTAGATTTGAATGAAAAAGCTCAGGTACAGTATCCATGCTTTGAGTTCAGGCACTAGGACTGGTGTGCACATGCACACACACACACATGCACACACTCACATACACACACAAACAGCACCCCCAAAATGTGTTAAGTATGTGAAGTCCTTATAACTTTGCAATTAATGGTATTCCATTAGGCGACTCTCTCTAAAATATGGGGTTACATTAAATACAGGTATATACTGACATCTAAGTGCTTTCTAATTAAATGATTTAATTTTGAAACCTAATAATTGACCACATTAAGTATTCTGACTTCAAAAGAATTTCTATAATTATGTTTATTGCCAATAATTTCTATTTAGTAGAAATAAGCATGTAAGGAAGAAGAGAGAAATATACAGTGTATACACAGTGGTACAGTAGATCCAGGGAATAAGGAAAATGATAGTAAAAAAATACCTTTCAAAAAGACAGGGAGACTCTATCATCTATAAATATTACCAAGAAAGTATTTATGAACAGGACTACATATGAATTCCAGTTCAGTTACACATTCGTGTACACCCAGCATCTACAAAGTCAGAATGAGATCCCTTACCTGCTGCTGCTGGAGCTCCTTTGCCATCAGTTACTGCTTTGGAAGAAAGATTTGCAAGCATCTGTGGATCTTCCTTTTCTGCCCTGGAACATTCATTACGGAAAGAGGAATCTGGTGCTGTAACTTCTGAACCACAACTTAAATCAAGAGGGAGACATGGTCCTAGCTTCTCAAGTGGCACACGTGTAGCATCAGGCACTACACAAAATAAAGAAGTTAAGTTAAGTTAAGCAGTGCCTGGCACAAAGAAGGTGCTTGATAAATACTTATAGAATAAGGGAACTGCTTTTAAGTCCAAATGATTTTACAGAGAAAAAGCAGAAATTTCTTAATATTCAAATAATTGCTATTTTAAGTTTTTTTTCTTTATCTTCCTTTATGTTTGTTTCTGTAGGAAATCAATATACATTACCCTCTGGTAGTGAAGACTCTGGCTGATTCTGAGAACTGATAGAGAATACTTTCCCATCAGTGGCTGGAGAGGGAGAAGAAAACTTTTCTACAGAATCATCAGGCATGGGTGTGGTGGCTAAGCGCTGAGATCTTCTTCTCCGCTCACTATGTTTGCAAGGTCTAGGGGGATTCACAGGCTGTGAAGGACCTAGAAAAAGATCTTGAATGTTCACGAAGCAGATACATACCAGGAGCATCTTATAATATTTAAGGAGATAAATGAGAAAATGATTCAAATTCTGTCCTCTGATGATGTTTTAAGATATCCACCAGGAATGGCATGTTCCAAGTTAACTAAAGGTAAAAACTGTGCCCTATTCAAAGAGTTAATCAAAAATTCAAAAAATCTAAACCTACCATGACTAAAAGAAAATAACATGGAACATTAATTTCAAGTAGGTCCCCCAAGTGACTATATTCCATCCTCTATTTGTACATTATTGTGCAAACTGCCATTTTTTCCTTTAGTAAAAAAATTATAAACCTAGACACTAAGTTAAGAAAGCAGGGACATAGGTGACAAAAATTTTACATACACTCTAGTTAGTCCTTTGCTTTACTTGCCAATGTAAAACTAATGTAAATAGTTTTACATCCCATGCTCATCCCCCCAAATCGATTCTTTATAAATATTATTTCTAGGCCTGATTCATTAAAAAAATTGAACACAAACAAATTATAATGTACTTACTGTGGGCCAAAAAAAGATTTTAAAAGAATAAAATATTTGATACTATTCTTGCCTTTATATGTTTTTTTATTTGCTTTTTAAACAACTTGTTATTTAAACACCTGCTAATAATGTAATACAAATGTTTGGCAATCTGACTTTTTTCAGCTTTGAGATTTCTTCTACTTGCCATATAAACCTATTGTTTATAACAGGCAGGATTACATAGGCCAGTGCACTCTTCTTCATTTATAAGAAACAGAATGAGTCTAAAGGAGTTGATGCTTCAAATATTCAAGAGTATGTCACAACAATCAAAATGAAAAAGACAGGATGATTATGGGGAATAAATGAAAGAATACATTGCAACTTTTATGTCATTATGGTTATAATACCAAGATAGAAAACAACTTCAAAATAAAGTGCTTATCAATGTCATGTGACATTCTTGTTACTACTGACATTATTTTATATAAATGTCATAAGGAAGTGCATGAGATTTTAATTCCTTTCTATTCCATTCTCTGAAAGTAACAACATAAAAGCAAACAAAATTTCTAATCAAAAATTGAAAAATATGCCTTGGTAGCAGATATGACAACCAAATGGAAGAGTTAGCATATTTGATGCCAACATCTTTATTTTGGAGATACATTATAACATGTATAAGGATGTGTCATAATTTACTGATGTTACTAATGAATGTGTTGTTGCACATTGAGGAAAAAAATGTCATTTACTTAGTGACTTTCCAGATAACTGTTGCGTGTCTCCAACTTGGAATACTGGTGTTTGTGTGTATGTGTGTGTGTTCACAGAGATAGAGATATATAGACATCTATAGACATATATAGATACATCTCTATATCTCTATCTATATACACATATACATCCAAATATATACTGAAATTTTAAAAAGGGATTTTTAAGACTAGGTTTACACTTGAAAGATTAGTATTGGCACAGTAAAACCTTTAAAATATAATCACAAAAGTATTTTCCTTTCATGAAGAATTGGATCTAATTTAAGTCTATATCATAAATACTACAAGGAAATAAAGTGAACTGCAGAGGGTTAGTCAATGAGAATAATGAAAGCTAAGTGCAAATATCTACCACAGGCCTTTCTATCTCTTGGGTTTTAGGGGGATTTGTTTGTTTATTGTTTTTTGTAATGAATCAGGCCTCTCATTAAGCTTGCATTATTACTTGAGAAGTCCAACTACACTGGAATTTGTGATATTGAATGATAAGGTTTCTCTACCAGCTAGTTTCTCAACAAATAAATCAGTAAGAAATGTCTATGATTCTTGTCCCTGAAGTAGCTTTAAGCCTCTTCTACATATTCTCTTAAATTTGAATTTTCAAAAAGCAACTTCATAAAAATACAATATAACTACAATCAAAGTTTTTAATGTATCTTATAGAATAAGTAACTATTTTTTAAAAATCTGTGCTCACTAGTTTTATTTATCACTGAAGAAGAAAGCTGAGATACAAGCGGCAAATCCTCGACTTGTATTAATTCTGGGGAAAGTGGTGATTTAGGGGATTTTATACACCCAGAAGAATCTCCAGATTCATGTTTGCATTTCTTGCTGCGAGCCTTCCCTGAAGACAAAGTTGAGGATAACAGTGCAGGTTTCTGAGTGTTGGCAGAACTGCTAATGTCAGCTTCATTTTTTTTCTGACTTTGAGGTTTAGGTGAAATCGCCTGAATGAATAATAAAAAATTGATATTTTTATTTTGGTTTCTTCATTTTTGTTCTTGTATTCTATTTGATTGTTAAGTAACTTTAGTACCCAAAAACATTGTTAAGCAACATATAACATTTCTATTACAAATGAAAAACCAAAATAACCCCACAAATTATTAACTAAAAAATTGAAAAGGCTGTCTTTAAAGGGATACTGTCAACTTTTAGTTTAAATTTTACATCATGTTCTCAGAACATAAAAAATTGTCTTACTGGACAAATATTTTTAGTATGTAATTGAAATATACTTCTTTTGGAAGCACAATTGCAAAAACACTGATTATAGTTTGCAAAGAACACTGATTAAAGCATTTCATGCTTCAGAACACTAGAGAAATATATTAAACTTTTGATTTTAGAGATGATTTATAATCTCAAGTTGAATGTGAAGGTGTAAGCAGACAGTTTCCCTTTAAAGAAAGGTTTCAACAGGAAAAAACAATGACCAAATTAATGAAACATTATCTTTAACTCATTTTAGTGCTGAAAGCTGGAGTTTCATAAGCATAATGCATCATGAAATCAGAGCCACCAGCAATAGAGTTAAAAGACTAAAAAACAATACAAAACAAGCAACAACAGAAAAACTAAAAAAAACAAAACAAAACCAAAGAGATAAAGTGTAAGTTAAAACATTGGATTTTAAAACAAAATACGTCGCATTCTTAGATGAGAGATTTTTACCTTCTTCCTGCCAACTGATACTTTCAAAAAAAAATTAGAACTTTTGTCAGTTCTTTCATATAGAATATTTTCATTTGCTTGCCAGTAAAATTCCCTATATGTAAAAATATGTGTGAATGTATCTACTATTATTAAAAAACAACAGAAATAGTCACATAGGATTGTTTGAAAGCTATCATGTAGGAAAGTCTAGATTGTATTTCTGTGATATATGTATTTGAGAGCAAACCATGATACACATTTCCAAAAATCTATACTATGATAAGCCACTGTAAAGAGTCAAATGGCCAAAACTATGAACAACATAGCTGTCCCCAAGAAACCTTTCCCTTCTATATGTTTTGAGGAATGACTCAACTGTCTATAATCTTCTAGAATATAGAAAAACATTGTTGAGGCAAAATTAATAGTTCTGTTCCCAATAAAGATCCTCACATTTTGGTAGAGATAAAAAGTGCATATTTGGTATTGAGTAGGACTCCAGTAAATGCTGTACAGATGGCAGGCTGGACATACCATATAAAAGGCCTGGGTCAGGTGTCCCCTGTGTTTCTCACTTTTTCTATTCTTGAATTTACTCATTATACATGTGCATAAGAGGGATTTGTCATTTGAAAAGTACTCTATAAATGCAAAGTATTCCTAAGCTATCATAAAAGGTGTTGCCAGAAAAGTAATTAGAGCCATTACGTGTAAATAAACAATTTTATTGTTCATCTTCACATAAGTGAAAGACATCACTACAGCATCCATTACTCTTGAGTTACAAAGTTATAAAACAAAATTTTAAAACTTAAATTAATATCTTGATAAGGTGCTTAACTTCTAAACAAGGACAAATTAACACTTTAAAAACTTACTGAATTATTATGCATCAAATGCAAGTTTTATCCAAAAGTAAATATAACATGACATTTCCCTAATACAATAATCTATAATTAATAATCTGAGAAATGGGGTTCAAGACCACAGAGTTTGATCTTGTAAAAATTATAAGTAAAATAAATCCATTAGCACAGTTAACTTTTGGCTATAGGCCTGTTATCAATCTATGTCAAGAGTGACATTTTAACTCATTAGAGCAACAGAAATTAGTGACAATCAATACTTCTCCTTTAGGTCTATTGTTGATAACAACTGAGATGTAATTAACTTGTTTTTTTTTTTTTAACTCTGAAGCAGGGCTAACAAATAGCATAAAATTAAGAGTTTAGTTACAAAACATTTTCACATTGAAACCAACCTGAATAACAAATAAAAACTGAGGGAACACAGTAGGATGTTCCGTAAAATTTTAAATAGTTTACAAAGTTTTCATGAATGATTATTGGTCTCTGTTACAAAACTGGCAAGGACTCTCAAAAACTCTTAATTATGCAAATACAAATAACCAAGTTGCTTGACTTTCCTTTCTTTTTCTAACTCAATTTCTCTGAAGTAGGTATTAGTCTCTATACTAGCTTCCATATGTAATAATCACATTTGCCTTACAGGATTGTGTGTAATAAAATATTGACATTGTAATGAATTTTCCAGAAACATTTTATTACCCAAGTCCCTGATATATTCATTTTGAGAATACTGTGAGAGCAGTGAAAGTACAAAATATTTTTATATCTGGGACACTGAATATGATAATATACAGTAAAAAAGTGATTTAAATTTGGTTGGTATACTGACAAATGGGAAAAATATTTAACTGATTGATGATCACAGAAAATCCAAAGATATGAGTCATCAACTGACAACTGATTTAATACAAAATAATGGAAGCATCAAACCAATGTACTGTTATTAAATCAGGCCAAAAGTAACACTGAAAACCTCAATACAGTATCATTTAAATTTGGACTATTCTTTAAAATACATAAAGAGAAGAGCAAAAAATACCCATTTTAAAGTCTACTTTATTAGGCTACTAATAAAGAAAATTAAAATACAAAAAGGAGATATTAAAACTACATTAAGGCTCAGATTTTAAAACAGGAGAACCAAGGAAATCCAGTTATGGCTATTACTGTATTCTTATAGTCTTACAGTGCCTAAGAAGTGAAGCCCTTAGAGAATGTAAAAGCATGCAGTTTGTTATGTACAGGTATTAGGGGAATCCGAAGGTAGCCAAGGCAAAACCTAGCAACTGCAAACCTTCATTTTTAAATTCCTCTATTAGGTGGTTTAAGACAGACCCTTTATAGTATTTTAAACTCTCTTTTTTTATTGTAGTTATTAAAATATACATCCTAGCAAAAATGTATGGCTCATTGATCAATTCATAAAACACATAGTCAAACAACACCAATTGTTACAATATAAAAGAAACTTCTTACAAAAGAAGCTTTATTCAATGCCAAAAAACCCTGCTTTAAATCACAAATGAAAAGTATTTGTGTAAGGGTCTTTTTGTAAGCTAGTTAAAGGTGTCCAGCTGGAAGCTTATACCCTGGGATGCCTGTCTCCAGGCTTTCAAATTTTAGAGACAAAGACTTTAATGCCAGTCTATTGAAAATAAATGCTAATGAAATCTATAGCTTATCTGGATACCATGGAGAAGGCAGAGAAAAATATACCATCCATGAATAAGCATCCTACTGCCATATCTGATTAAAAGGGCAATTTCAATTACATGGATACTACAGTTCGGTGATCATTCCAGTGGGAAGGAACCTTGAATAAATCAAATGCTACCATTTCATACCTGCTCCAGCATTGGAGCTGTTTCACTGTAGTCTTCTTTTTTTTCAGCACCATCCACCCCAACAGCTTTGGATGCCAACAAACCTTGAGAAAAATTGTACAGAAATGCCTTATTAGAAAAAAAAATTGATCTCATCCTAATTAATGTCTCAATAATTTTAGCAGTTGTGCTCACCCAGTTAATATGTAAGAAACAACTATAAATGCTTACTTTTCAAAAATACCAATACCCTTAATACATTAAGGGACTAAATCAAAATTTATGTGTATGTGTATGAAATACTACATTTTAAGATTTTTAAACACACAGTCCATGACAATTTTAAATCTCATGGCTTCTAAGTTCAAATCAAGATCACTAATGTTTACAAAGTAAGTTAGTTTTGTGGTATCATTAGCTCAAACCTTATTCCAGTTTTAAATTTCATTTATAGCCTTTAATCCTAAGCCTTATGTGTTTATGTTTAGTATTTTCAAAAAAAATCCAAGAATATGAATGGATTCATTTTATGTATGAATTCTGCTTATTTTAATTATAAGTTCATTCTAGGTGATAAGATGTTCAAATTTTTATTCCCAACTTTATAAGTCATAATATTTCCTTTAAAATAGTTACAATTTCCCATATCATCAAAACTCTGCTCTAATAAATTAATAGTATTTTTGTAGCTAAAAAGTTTTGCTCAGTCTGTACTTCCAATGAAACCAGGTTTATATTTATATAATAACAATTATTTATTTTTGTTATGGCCACTTATAAAGGGTAACCAAAAAAATCATCTGGCCATGTAAAACCTTTGCACAAGAGAAAGCATATTTAAAAACTAATAACAGCTTAAGAATAAGCTTACTACAGCATTTTTATACCACCTTTATAGCTAAAGATATCTACAACATTACTGCCTAGGAGAAAAAAAGGCTCTCATGAATAATACACAACATAGAACTACAACAGGCTATGTGTCTTGCCTTTTATAACTACGCCAAATATATTAAGTCATCTAGATGGGAATACACATATCAAAACCATACTCTCAAGAGCAGTACTGGGGCCAAATGTTGCATTAGGCAAAAGATGCTTTTGCTGTATTGGAAAGTTGAATACTTAGGGTTCCTGTTTTAACAACAGACAGAAATGAGTTTGATACATCACTGTCTGGTATTAGACCTGGAAATAGGCTCAGACTGAGATAACAGTCTACATATTCTGTTCCTGTCCCATATCCCATAAAATGTACATTTAAATGGGAAAATGGTATTCAAACTTTAGTCTTGCTTTTTCCAATATCAAAGTGTGAACTAAGGGCCTCGAACACTCCCTGGATTATTTTTTTTGCTTACAGCTGGTTGCTCTACCACTTGAACCATGCTTCCAGTCCAGTATTTTGCTGTTTAATCGGAGATAAGAATCTCATGGACTTTTCCACCCAGGTTGGCTTCCAACTGTGATCCTTTAGGTCTCAGCCTCCTGAGTAAATAAGGATTACAGGCGTGAGCCACTGGCACCTGGCTAAAACAAGTGTATAAAACATTTTAAATAATAAATTCAATTATACTTATGTTTTACAGGAGCAAAAAACGATGCTGCATAGGATATTTAATATTTAAAAGCACATTCACTCACTAAGTTTTTCTTGTCCAGCTAATTTTCTAAAACTTAAAAGTAGAGAAAGAGAGAAGGAAGGAAGGAGGGGAGGGGAGGGGAAGGGAGAGGAAAGGTGATAGGAAGATTAAGGAAGGGTAGGGAAGGGAAGGTTAGGGAAGGGAAGGGGATAGAGGGAGAGAAAATAGACCATTCGAGATGAAGTCCATCTTTTCTAAGGAATTGAGTTTTGGTTATATTTCTAAGGGCTATTCGAACAGGAAATACATTTGCTATTCAATATACTAATTATATCTTTGGTACTATTGCTACAGGTGGTATACTTTTTAACACTGATCAACAAATTTAAAGAAACATAACCTGCAAATTTAAAAAGTGTTGCAAGATTTAAAACCAAATGATTCATCCATAACCTGTAAATTTCATTAAAACATTACAGAGCCATCTTTTAATTCATTAAAAGCCATCCCAATTCAATAGTTTAGGGAGGAAAATTATACCTATGTAATGTACTCACAAGAAAGTAATAGGAAACTTAAGAAAAAATATATAAAATTAAATTATAAAAAGCATGAATGATAAAATTTCATGTTTTATATTTGTTACAATTTAGGAGTTATAAATTGTAAGAAACAAAAGGGAAACTTCAGAAAACACTACTTAAAATTAAATTTTTATAAGCATGATAAATTGTATATGCTTTAAATTTGTAATAACTTAAACTTATCAAGCATAAGCGACAAAAGGGGACAAACAATAAAAACATGTACTTGAAGAGAGAACTCTATTTCTGCTTGTAAAAGGCAGCCCAAAATCTGTTAAGTTGGTACCATTTTAAGAAGAAATGTAATATCTATAGTAAATGAGAAGTAATGAAAACAAATAAAATTTTAATTTTGTTAGTAAATACTTGCTAATTATCAGCAAATTACCACAGGCCTTCTTCTAGATTTCCTTCCTAATATATATTGTACAACTGTAAGAAATTAAACACTGAGTAAGAGTTCTAACACCTACCCATAAGCAAAGTCACAGCTCCAGAGCAGTCTATTTCATTATAAAATGTGCAATCTTACTCTTTTTGACAACAGAAATAGAGGCCAGAGCTCATAGTAATAGAAAAAGGAGCACTCAAATCTACAGGTTAAATTGTTGGTCTACTTTTCATGCATGTATTTTAACACAAAATCCTTTTGCTGGGATCAAGATCAAGTATCCTTGATATTAGTGTCAACAACATATTCCCAGTCAATTTAAATCATGGTAATTCAAAAAAAAAATTTTTTGTCGCTCATGGGGCTTGAACGCTGGCCCTGAACGCTGTCTCTCAGCTCTTCAGCTCAAGTCTAGTGCTCTACCACTTGAGCCACTGCATCACTTCTGGTTTTTTGAATGGTTAATTGGAGTAAGAGTCTCACAGACTTTCCTGCCTGGGCTGGCTTTGAATCACAATCCTCAGATCTCGGCTTCCTGAGTAGCTAGGATTACAGGCGTAAGCCACCAGTATCCAGCTTCACAATTTTTTTAAAAAAAATCTTTAATTGATGGAAGTGGAACTGTGATTCAAGCGGTAGAAAGCTCACCTTGAGCTGAAGAGCGCAGGGACAGTGCCCAGCCCAGAGTTCAAGCCCCATGATGGACAAAAAATAAAATAATAATAAAATATATATCTATATCTTTAACTGAATAAACTCCTGGAACTTCCAGGAGTGCCTAGAAACAATTAGAACTAATCATTGTAATAATTATTCTCTTCTCTTCCACCCTATAAACAATTTTGGATCTACTAAAACTCAGTTTACCTGAAACTTTGTTCTAAAGTTATAGACTAACTGATTATCTTTGTAAAAATGTGGATTTTAAGTCAATATATAAATAACAATAAGCAGTAAAGAATGTTTAAGTAGTCACTGGAATAACACTTGTTATGCAAATACATTTCCAACTTCTATGTATTTGAAAACACTGGCATTATTCTGTACAGATATCAGGTTTAGAATTATTGTAGTATATGTTTATGGGGAAGGGAGAGAGCGAATAAATACAAAATAAAACATATCCAGTGATCATCTACCTAACTTCAGCTGGAAGTAATTTAAATATTAAGTGACATAGAGAAAATGTGTCAGAGCATGCTACTTGTAATTTTAGCCACATTATCTCCAGAAGGAAAGGGACAAAAAGACACACATAGGTAAGATTGCAAATATTAAAATATACTACAATGCTGACAAAAATAGCTATTTTATATTATTTTTCATGGGCACAAGTTAAATTTCTTGAACAGAAGCCCAGGTTTCAACTATTGAGGACAATCGTACAGTATCTATTGTCCTTTTGCATGCCATATTTGTAATCTGAAATAAAAAGTACAGGAGACACAAACTACTAAAAGAAGTATCACACATTTAGATCTTCTGAGTAAATAAAGGTAAAAAGACCATCATGGCTTTACATTCATAATCTTATGCTCTCTGCTTGCTGCCAAATCATCACATTTGAGATACCCAAGGGCAAGTGAAGAGAAAGTTCCTCCACACAAGGCACATAGTGTTGCTAAGTAACTTAGGATTGTTAAGTTGATGCACAGGGTAAAATGGAGTTTTTCCCTACTACTGCCTCTCCAAGAACATGCATGCAGAGACAAATGCACCACTATGGACTCAGCTGTTTTCATCTTCTTTTTTTTTTTTTTAACTTCTTTTAATGTTGAGCTTGGACCTCCCAGGAAAGGATGTAGAAGAAGGCATGAGAATATACTGACTCTGACTGAAATCAGGTTATATGATTAAAAGAAAAACCACGATGAATAAGGGCCAGATGTATTATGACAGTATCACCTCCATCTTCCTCCATCTTGAATTCTTCAATAGTTTTCTTTATTAATCTTTGTGTATTATTCCTCTTTTGCCCTGCATGTAGCAATGGGGTTCACATTTTAAGTCAAAACTGAAGTCTCAGGTTATGATCAGAACAATTACTTTAAAAATATCTTGTTTTTTCTCAAAGGCTAAGTTTGTAAAAAAGATTTAATAGTGAAAAGATGTGAAATACTTATCTTGTATCAAATATATCACTTTCAGAGAAAGGCATGAAAATAATGTAGGCAAATGGAAGAGACCAAATAGTTTCAGTTTATGAAAGAAATGACGATCAGATAAACACTACAAGATGAGTGGCTCTAATACCCTCAGCTCCAGGGTCATCTTCTGGTTGACTTCCTCTTTCAGTAAATGGCCAAACCTTTTAATTATGTTTATTCCTACATCTGACAATGAAACTAAACTTCAAAGTATTTAAATAAATGGCAACAGAGGTTTAGATAGCTTTATTAGACCAATACACTAAAAGGCATTTGTCCTTAAAAAAGAATATAGAATGGAATAATTAGAACACTCAAAGTGCACTTTAACAAATACTCAAAATATTAAAATTTGTTCACAATTTGTTTTAAACATTATTCTGAATAGGATCTAGAAGCAACAGGAAATGATATGATCTGCTCTAAGTCTAATACTTCAATCCCTTCTTGTGTAACGTGCTAGGCCTGTCCATATTTTCAATCATCCCACCATTGCAACACCCTTCATTACAAGAAGGCATAGGGGGAAAAAAAAGAAAAAAAAAGAAGGTACAGAGAAATATGCCTAAAATCTAGAGTCTAATCTAAAGGTAATGGTAGAAGAATGATAATAATGATAAACTACAGAAGTATTTTAGTAGAAATTAAGTGACTCAGGAACTAAATTTAACTCAGATATCTACCTTTTTAAACCATTTCCTCTCAAGTGGATTCCATATTTAAGTAAGCCTGGTTAATAAGAATGTTCAAATAAAAATATCTAAAATCTCAACCATAGGTTGACAAAGGCAGAGAACCAGTTTCTTTTAAAAACTATTCCTACAACAAGCATTTTAAAACTATAGAATTTTGAGGCACTTGAGCTTTTCAATCCTCACAACATCCCTGTGAGGTAGGGACAGAACACACTTCGTGATTGACATTTTGCAGCAGACAGAGGTGGTAGTGCTGAAAGACATTTACTTTAAGGAACCAGAAACTAACTGTCTTTCTTAATAAGGAGTCCATTACATGGAACCAAAAGATGCATTTTACTTTATTAGAAACAATCCACTCTAAAATGAAACCCTCCAGTCTCCCCAAAAAGAATCATTGTAGATTACCAGTAATCTTGTTAAGTCGAGCTCTCTTTGCCTGAAATGAGTTGCCTTGATTATTTTTCCTCTTGTTTGATAATACACTCTCTGGCTGTGGAAAGACCATCTTTGGAACGCTCTCTACATGAAGTCCTACTTTTAACAGAACACATATATGAGAGTTTATCTAGAATCCAAAATTAAAACACAGTTAAAAACAGCAAAGTGGTAAAAAAATCTTTTGATTATTTTATAACAGATGCTTGTTTACAACTTTAAAAAACAAATCCCTCCACATTGATATACCAGAAAAAAAAAAACCCTACTAAAGTCATTCTGCAAGGAAGAAGAGCAGAAGAAAATTACTTCTTCTATTATAGCACACTGAAATATATATATGAAAACATAGGAAAAGTTAAAAAAAAACCTAATAAAACACCTGAAAAAAAATCCTACTAATCAAGAAGTCTCAAATCAATGCTTTCAATTTATTTCTACTCAAGAATATTGAAAGTACATAATGCCCAGTACTGAACTAAATAAACCTTAATCTTCAGAGATACAAAGTATTTTTATGTCATCCATCCTATTATGATAGGAGGAAAAAGCCTAACAATTATAAGTTCAAAATTAGATAGAACCTTAGGATTCAACTTAATCACTACTTCAGTTCACCAGTTTCACTAGGAAGGAAAACAAAAAAATGTATTCTATACCAAATGTTTCACTAGATGTAGGCAGATCTTCCTTCTTCTCAACTTCAGGTGTGGCTATGCAAGTTGAAGTTTCATCCTTCTTTGAAGGTACTTTAAGCCACTTTCTCTCATCTTTCTCTTTATCTTTATTGCTGTTAGCACTGGTTCGAGGTTTAGTCCCTGTTTTATTCTTGGCTGCGGCTGCAGCAGCTGCTTTTACTAAAGCTATCCAATCCTCCAAAGGAAAAAAAAACACAAAATGTAAAGTATTAAAAAAAACACACAAACAATCTAAATGTAGTTACACTCATGAATAGAAATATGTCACATCTTTAAAGTTGTTTCCTATGTTTACATGGCAGATCATCAAAGATTATTAAATTTAATAACCTAATAGGTTAGATGGGTTGTAAAAAATCTATAAAATAGGGAAATATTGAATAACATTTTCTTGATGCATTCGCAAGTAACTTAGAAAACACAGAGAAAATCTAGCATACTACATATCATTCTACCTTAAAATCTGCATTATGTTTCTTTTAATAATAAAATGGGCCACAAAAGAGGAAGAAAACTCTTATTGTAACCTTAAAAAGATTGAAAGAAATGTATTCCTACTGATTAAATTATTTTTATTATTAAAAAAGTATGTAGAAGCCAAGTGCCAGTGGCTCACACCTGTAATCCTAGCTATTCAGAAGGCTGAGATCTGAGGATCATGGTTCAAAGCCAGGCTGGTCAGTAAAGTCTCTAGTAAACTACTCAGTAAAAGCCAGAAGTGGTGCTGTGGCTCAAGTGGCAGAGCGCTAACCTTGTGTACACCAGGGACAGCACCCAGGCCCTGAGTTCAAGCCTGAGGACTGGCAAAAAAAATTCAGTAAATAAATTTTTAAAAAGTATTAATTTTTTGCATTGATTTCTATTAAGTTTTTTAAACAACTAGTTATAAGATTTTACAGAGTTAATATTCCACTGGGGCTACTAAGCTCCATCAAATAGACTAACTCAGTCATCAAAATGTATAGTACATTACTCAGCCAATCAACTGAAAACAGTTTTTCATCAAATGAATTCCATGGGTCACATTCATAGATATAAGCATTATTTATTAACAGAATTAAGCAATAAGGATTGCAAGCTGACAATAATTCAGTCTCAAAGACACACAGCGAACATACATAGACTTAAAAACAAATCAGCTAGGTGACTGTGGCTTATGCCTGTAACTCTAGCTACTCAAGAGACTAAGATCTGAGGATGGCGGTTTGATGTTAGATCAGCAGAAAAACCCCAGACTCTTTACCTTAATTACCAAGAAAAGGCCAGAACAGAGTGGTATTACATTAACTTTGAGGAAAAAAAGAGTCAGGACTCAAGCCCTGAGTTCAAGCCCTAGTACAGGCACAAAACCAACAAGAACAGCCACAACAACAACCCAAAACAAATAAGCTAGGTGATGGTAGCTCATGTATGTAATCCTAGCTACTCAGGAGGCTGAGGTCTGATAGTCATAGTCAGCCCCAGCAGTAAAATCCATCAGACTCATCTCCAATTAACCACCAAAAACTGACAGCAGAGCTGTGAATCAAGTGGTAGAATGCCAGCCTTGAACAAAAACCCTAAAGGATAGAACCTTCAGTTCAAACCCCAATACCAACACACACACACACACACACACACACACACACACACACACACACACACTCTCTCTCTCTCTCTCTCTCTCTCTCTCTCACTTTCTCTCTCTCCCCTATGTGCCTTCTCTCTGTCCATGATTGAAATGAACTAAAAATATATGAGGGCAACTAATACACTTATTCATTGACTTTCTATTGAGTATTCCACTATATAAAACAGGTACCATGCTAAACATTCAACAGACAACTAGAGAGGGGAGGGGCTGGTCCTGCCCAGAAGAAAAATTAGCCAGGAGGGCTGGGAAGGTGGCTCAGTGGTAGAGCGCCTGCCTTGCATTCCTGAGTCCCTGGGTTTGATTCCTCAGCACCACATAGCAAAAAGAAAAAAGCCGAAAGTGGCGCTGTGGCTCAAGTGGTAGAGTGTTAACCTTGAGCTGAAGAGCGAAGGGACAGCGCCCAGGCCCAGAGTTCAGGCCCCACGACCGGACCCAAAAAAAGAAAAATTAGCCAGGAAAATAAAATTATCCATAAGAGAGTGTGATCATAATATACTAAAGGAATAAACAAAACACTATGGAACAATGAAAAGATTAATTTTTGACTGAAGAAAAAGACTAGTGGGAGGCTTTAGAGGCAATGGTAGAAAAGTTTTCCCTTGAACATAAGCAGGTTTTGCTAGCTAAGAAAGTAGTATTTGCTAGCTAATGGTTAGCTAGCTAGAAAGGAGAAAGCATGATTTCAAAAACATTAAACAAAGGTATGGTACTCAGTCTGTTCAGGAATGTGGATAAGTAATGGAAGACTCTCAAAGTGAAGGATAAAGCACCCAAAAGCCTATGGATAAGCTGAGCCTTGAGAATAACATTCAAGTAGTAAGGTAAAAGCAAGTACAACTAAAGAAGAAAAAAAATGAGGAAGAGAAACCAACTAAGAAAAAAAAGAATGTAACTACAAGTATGAAAGCAAAGTATTGATGGTGTAAGGCATGTATTTAAAGAATTATAAAAGTGGAACATCTGTTCAGTGCCAGTAGTTCATGCCTGTCATTTTAGCTACTTAGGAGACTGAGATCTGACGATCATGCTTTGAAGCCAATCCAGGCAGAAAGTACATGAGACTATCTCCAATGAACTACCAAAAAGCTACAAGTGGACCTGTGGCTCAAGTGGTAGCACACTAGCCTTGAGAAAAAAAGCTCGAGGACAGTGGCCAAGCCCTGAGTTAAAGCCCCAGTACAAAGAGTACCAGCACAAAGTACCAGCACAAAGAAAAGAAAAAAGTAGCAGAACATCATGGGACAAAAGTAATTTCCATTTCATGCTGTTTTCTACCTCCAAGAGATATAACTGGAAAAAAGAAAAAAAAAGGAATCATTCCAACATTCATAACAAAAAAATTAAATGCTTTTTGAGTATACAATTTGTTAATCATGCAGCACATGAATGACAGCAGTGTAATTATAAAGATTTTTATTATTCTCTTGAATTTTTTTACATAGAAAACAATCACTGTCAAAAATAACTGTGAATCTATGAATTAAAAAAACTACTAATTACACATTGCACATACTCCATAGATAGCACAATAAATACACTAAAAAAAAGAGCACTGTGTTTGACATCAGAAGATATGAGTTCAAGAAGTAACTTTGTACACACTGGCTAAGTAAAATTATAAACTGGTCTTTCAATTCTTAACTGTAAAATAAAAATAGCCTTAACTTTGAAAGAACTGCTACAAAAAAATCCAGTAAGACAATATATACATAAAATGTCTTGTAAACAGCAGGGGACACTATTCTGTGTGGATGTAAATTTTACATTAGGAATAGAAGGTATAAGATTTAAGTGTAAAGTAAATGATTCCATCTCTCACCCTATAATTATTTCTGTTGTCTTTTATTAGGATGGAAGTTCAAAAATAACATTAAGAAAGTATCTCCTTAGAGAAACCAATCTCCACCCTTTAAAATGTCAGCTTCATGGGAATTATATCATCATTCAAAATTATGTACGATAGGAGTGGATGAGAGAGGAGATCCTAACTTTTGACAGTCAACATGTCTATGTTAATATCTTCCTCATTGAGAAAAATGTCTACAAATATAATGCAAGAACAATAGCTTATGATTTATTCAAAATATTATAAAAAGTTCTTTAAGGTAAGCATATTGTGCACACTTGTAACACCAGATATGTAGGAAGCTGAAGCAGCAGGGTTGAGAGTGGAGGCAAATCTAGGCAAAGATTTTGTTTTGCTTCGTTTTGTTTTTGCTAGCATGTAGGATTGAACTCAGAGCCTTCTGCTAACTAGACAAGCACTCTACAATTTGTCTTGCCCTTAGTCCTTCAAGTTAATCTTTAAATACAAGCAGAAGTTCACCAGTAGCAGTTGATTAGTTCACTTAGTAATAACAACATTAAGGCTTTTTATTCAGGCTAAGAATATTAATTTATCTGGAGGTTCACACAAAAATGTGTGTGTGTGCGTGTGCGTGCACAGTGGTACTGAGGCTTGAACTCTAAGACTTGTCTTTTTGCTCTTCTTTTTTGCTCATGGTTGGCATTCTACTTTTTGAGCCACTTCTAGCTTTTTCTGGCTAATTGAAAATAAAGAGACTCATCAGGTATGGCTTCAACCAGATTCGGAGATCTTAGCCTTCTGAGTAAAGAGTAGAAGTATGAGCCATCATTCCTTAGCTTAATATTGTTATTGTTCTATTTTACACAAATCATATACGAGGTCTAGGGAAGAGAATTCCATATGGCATTTATTTGTTTACCCTAGTATGATTTGGTGTATGATTCTTAGCTAATTTATTGATATGTGATTCTTGGCTAATTTTACTTCCTGTCTTTTTAAAATATTTCTCAAACTAGTCAAAGTCCAGAAAAATAATATTCAATATATCACTGTCTTAACTTTACCCAATTTGGCATATATCCTAGGTGAAAATAAGAAAAAAAAATTGATTTTAACAACTTGTTGATTTTTTAAAATTAATTAACAGTTCTTATAAGTTTATTATTTAGTTATGAAGAAAAATGAAAAACTGAAATATACTGCTTCCCAAATATTCTTTCCAAAGTTTTACATCTTGGCATTGTTAACAGATATCATGGTATAACTAAAATACTTATAATAAACATTTAAAATATCAAATCAGTTTCTCTAGCCTGTAATTTTAGCCATTTTTGATATCTGAGTAATCAGAACATAAAAATCATAGTTTCAAAACAAACTTAAAAAACTTAATAAGACTTTTATTTAAACAGGTATGCAACTATGTTCCCAACATTTTAACCAATCTCTCTATGCAGTAACCAAGAAAGCAAAACATTTAGCGCTTAAAATATATTTATACATGCAGGAAGTCACAAAGTAATTTCCTGAGCAAAAGCATTTTTCTTTTAAATCACATCTAAATATTAATTAACATGTAGTTGCTTGGCTGATTTCATAAACATTTAAAAACCAGGTAACTGAAAACAATCACACCTCTCAGAAGAGTTGTTTAGAAAATAATTATTTAAAATGAGATACTACCTATTTAATAGAAGACTATAATATAATCACACCTAACTGAAACTGACCAGTTATTCTAACACAGTTTTGCTGCACACTAGTGAACAAGTATGTAACAGTTTTCCACATCACACAATTTCATAGATGACTTTCAAGTTCTTAAAATTAATTGTAGGTCCAGGTGCTGAAAATCCCAAATAACAGCAGAACATAAAAGAAAATACTTTAAGTTTCTAATGGCACCTTTCTTTTCTGTATGTCAGGAAACACAATCACAAGTGGAATCATAATTTCAACTTCATCCCAGAATCTCCTTCAAAATGCTTACCATTCATTCTTGCTTTATGCAGTGCCAAATATGTAATACACTGCTTCTGTCATGTGACTCAGAGAGCCCTACTTGAAACAGCCTACAGAGTGTCAGGTAAGCGCCTTTTAAAGAGGATGAATGTGATTTGTAGAAAGAAAGCAGAAGATAAGAAACTCATATTTAATATAAAATTTCATATTAAAAATGAACTCTCTAAATAATACTCTATACCAGAGAAAATAAAACAAAAATTTTGTGGAAAAGCAAAAGGCACTTACCTCACTTCCCATAGACTGGTTACACGATCCAGCTGGGTCGATAGGACAACACCAGCTTAGTGGATGCTGGGATTTCACCTGGAACAGAAACTAGTGACCTATAACTTTAGCAGGTCTAAAACCAAAGAAGCAAAAATCAAGTGTATAATTTATTTTACATTCTAAGCTTTTCTTGCTGCTATTTGGGGCTATCAGCACATAACCCTACAATTAGTTCACTTTAAAAATACATGCATAGATGTTGATCAGTTACCATTCCCTTTGAGTAGTGAGGAATACTGAACATTCTTACCTGTCCCTTAGCATCCTCAGGCATGGCTTTAATGTGCATTCTTTTTAAACAACGGATTACTCCATCATAAAACTGCACTGTGAATGTTCCTGAAAAAGGAGCAGTCAGAATCATCAGAAAATATCTTGTAACTTTTTACAGCAGCACCTGGAAACTAACAAGTAGTGACATAATATGAATAAACTAACAAGTAGTGACATAATATGAATAAATGCTCTGTGACTACATGGCTGCATGAAGACTCTACTACATTTATGTGTACATTTTCTCTCTTTCCAAAAACAACTCAACTAATACTGCCCTTTAAAAAGGTAAGATAAGTTAATTGCATGTAACATGTTTACTAAGTATTTTATATCTTTTCATAGTAATTTACTATTTAATATATCTGTCAAAATATTTACAAAAAGTTATTTTTATATAAATGACCATTGGCTCCTTTGAAAATATCTTTTATAATAACAGGAAGAGCTGATAAATGGAATATGTAGGAAAAGACTTTTTGGGAATCGAATTAAATTTACAGATACAGGTAGATGACAGTCAGATGACAGATAATAAACAAATAAGGTTGATTCCTAGTTTTAAAGTAGAAAGCCATTTACTAATTAAGAGATTAACATCTTCCATGCAAAACAAAAGGAATTTAAGAAAAGCTAAAAACTGCATTTGATGGCATTCAACTAGGCAACAACACAACATAATGGCACTGCCAGATTTGTGTAGCCAGCCATGATTTTCTTACTAATTCATCCTAGTTTCAAGCTTCAAGACTTTTAGAGGCATACTCACTTTCTGTTATAGATCCTATGCTAGCAATATAAAATTTTTAGAAACAGGTATGTAGACTTTACCCTTAGGAAATTCAAATGTTTTTCTACAATATTCAAAATATAAACAGAGTACTAATTCAGGAAGTACCTACTTCCTGGTTTTATCTTTACAAAAGTATAAACAAAAAATGTGATCATTGTTACTTAGTTGTAAATGACAAAAAAAATTATTGCATATATGTGCCTAGATTTTTTTCACTATAATTTGAACTAGAATATATTTCATAAATTTCATAGCTTTCAATGGATACTGCTAAATATCACAAAGATCTTCACCTAAAAAGTAACAAATGAGCGCGAATATTAATGAGTTAAGGACAAATGGATAACTCCATTTGTACATACTTTGCACTATCATCTTTCCTGTAACTGTCAATCCTGCGCCTTCCTCCAGACAGCACGCCAGAGGAATCCAGAATGCTAACAATGTCACTGTGCTTGTCCAGGCCTTCATTCCCCTACCTTTGCTCAGGCTGTCTCCTCCACTGTGATGACTCCGCATTCTTCCCTGGGACTTGTCTAACTCCACTCACTCCTCAAGGATCATCAGCTGATGAAGACCCAGTCAGCTCCTTACACACTGCTCAGATCCTTTACTTCATTTCTGCAAGCTATCTGACAATTTCTAACTGTTCATTTTGTTTTTACTTAGACAACAAATTGAAGGTTTCCTGTGTCTTTTTTGTTTTTAGAAGAGGCAGACTCATTTAAAAATCACAAAATTAATACTTCTAGTAGAGATGCTTACAAAATAAACACTAGCTGCCAATATTTCACTAAAGGCTCAAAGGAGCTAATCCTAAAATCACAGTAATCATAGTATTAGTATCATCAATTCTCCAACAACTTAAACTTCATTTTCTATAGATGTCTGTGGTTAAACAAGACAGGATAAAAGAATAAGAGTGTTTTTCGTTTCTGAGTGTGATATGTGTGAGAGTACATATAACTGTACACACACATATCCCTAGGGAACTTGAAGCTTGGAAAGTCCCAAAGCTCTTTATACTTAAAGGATCTATTCTCAACTGGAGAACACTGTTTGATTCTGCTTTGAGTGGATCCTTCTATCTACCAGAAAAAAAAAATCATATATCTCCGTTTTAGAGACTGTTTCTCACTGCCTACTATGCACTACACTCTGAACTAGACACTTAGGGGTTCTGAACATTGCATGTAAGTGCCAGAACACAACTCTATAGAAGTATACGTTTTCCACTGGAAAAGGAGAAATAACCTGCATGTGTATGTAGTGAGTAATAAAGCTATAGACATATATAGCTTTTAATTAATTACAATAATGGAGTTAAAATTTCTGCAGTTATATCATCATTATGAGGAAAACCACTGATTTATTTTTTCACATTTAGTGTGTGTGTGCGCATGCCAGTCCTGGAGCTTGAACTCAGGTCCTACGTAGGTGCTGTACCAGTGTTTTGTTGCTCAAGGATAGCCCTCTACCACTTGAGCTACAGCTCTACGTCTAGGATTTTGCTGGTTAACCAAAGAGATAAGATTCTAATACCCTTCTCTGCCTTGGCTGAATTCCAACTGTGATCCCTGGATGTCAGCATCAGTAGCTCACTGATGGCCCACTTATAATGTTTGCCTGAAAACCTTTGCTTCCCACTGACGTCTTTGTCTATAGCCTATCCCCTATAAAGCAAATCTTCATTCCTAACAATTCATAGTTCCTTGAAATAGCAAAGCTCTCTCATTTCTTTTCTAAGCAGCTTTCTTCTGCAGAAATTTTCTCTTCTTTTGTTAAGCTATATCTCTTTTAGGCTAGGTTTAAAGAAAGTATATCTTGTTAGACCAAGTGTCACTCTTTTTTAAAAAAGTTTTATCTTGTTATTACAGGAGTTACAGATAAGTCAAGTGCATTTTTTAAAAATGTATTTTTATAAAATGCATTTATTTTTAGACAATGTCATCCGTTCCCTTGCACTCCCAAGTGCCATTCTTGTCAGGAAGCTGTCACTCAATATTTGCTTCTTTAGAAAAATAGTAAGTAGTCAAGATTAAGAAATTATAATAGAAAACATATAAATAACTTGAAATAGACATTTAAATATTTCAAAATGAGAAGTTTTAAACATAAAATATTTAAGTATATTTTCAAAAAATAAGCAAATTTTCATTCCTTTCCAAATTCCTTTTTTTACATAGTTATAGATTTTATTTATTTTTTTAAATCAAGCTGTTTATGAGTACAATGTATCTTGATTAATTCATCCATTTAACACTCTCACTCATCCCTCCCCCTACCCACTCCTCTCCTCATTCTTCTTAATTTTGTAGGGTATACACTGGATTCTTCTCTGTATGTTCCCTCTTGTCCTCATCATTTATCTGTTTTCCTTTAACCCTACTCCATCCCTTATGAGAACTTGCTTCCTGGTGTATTATTTTGTTGAATTTTGATTTCCAAAAACTTACACTATTTGAGTTCTCCCTTGAACCTACTGTATTTCAGTCAATACATTTGTATTCACTTGCATACCACCTAATGTATTTACTTGTTGAGTTTGTAAGCTAAATCTACCTTCTACATACAAGGAAAAAATGGATTCTTTTCTCCCCGGGCCTGACCTAGTTCACTTAACATTTTCCCAAGTCTTTCTATTTCTTTACAAATGGTACAATATTGTGCTTTCTAATGGAAGAGTAAAATTCTACTCTGTATATACACTACATTTTCTTGATCTACTCGTCCACTTAGGGACATCGAGGCTGAATCCACATATCAGTTATGGAGAATAGTGCTGCAATGAACATGATTGTGCTGGTGGCCTCAGAAGTGGAATTGCTGGTTCAAAGGATAGTTTTATGTTTAATTTTTTGAGGGACCTCCACAACAGCGTACTAAAGGGCCACATCCTTGCCAGCATTATACTGTTAGTTTCCATGCAACAGCCATTTTAACTGGGGTGAAGTGGAATCTCAATGTTGTTTTGATTTGCATTTCCTTTATGGCCAAAGATTTTGAGTGTTTCTTCATTGGCCATTTTTACTTCTTGTGAGAACTCTCTTTAGCTCATTAGCCCATTTATTAATTGGGTTGTTGGTTTTTGAGGGTTTAATTTCTTAAGTCCTCTGTATATTCTGGATATTAGGCCATTTCCGATGTGTTGCTGGCAAAAGTCTCCCATTCTGTAGGTGGTCTTTTTAGCTTGATGGTATGTCTTTTGCCACACCAAAACTTTTTAGTTTGATGCAGTCCCATTTATAAAGTCTTTCTTTGATTTGCTGTCCTTGTGGATCTTTACTCAGAAAGTTTCTACCTGGGCCCAGGAGCCCTTGTGTTTCCCCTACTCTTTCCTGTAATAGTTTTGTGCTTTTAGGTCTTACATTGATGTTTTTAATCTATTTGGTTTGATACTGGTGCAAGGACATATATAATGATAATGTTTGAGTTTTCTGCCTGTGGAAATCCAGTTTTGCCAGCACCATTTTTTGAAGTGGCTGTCCTTCTTCCAGCCTATGTTTTGGGTTCCTTATTGAATATTAAATGGCTGTAGGTCAGTGGATTTATTTCTGAGTCTTCTCTTCTGTTCCCTTGATCTTCAGGCCTATTTTTGTGCTAGTACCAAGCTGTTTTCATTATGTCTGTCATACAGTTTGAAGTTTGCTATTGTTATTCTTCCAGCACTATTCTGCCTAAGAATTGCTTTTGTTATTTGGGATCTTTTGTTACTCCATATGAATTTTTGGATTCCTTTCTCTATCTCATTGGAGAATAATGTTGGGATTTTGAGGTTTATTGCATTGAATTTGTAGATTGCTTTGGGGTCTTTGAATTTCCTTAAGTCTTCGTCAATTTCCTTCTTTAAATTTTTTAAGTTTTCATTATAGACATGCTTCATATCTTTGGTTAATTCCTAAGTCATTTTGTGTTTTGTTGTTTGTCTTTTGTATATTTTTTCTTTTTTGTGTCTTGTATTTTTGAGATTATTGAAAATGGAGTTGTTTTCCTAATTTCAGTCTCAATCTCCTCATTGTTGGCATACAGAAAAGCTTCTGACTCTTTTGTGGATTGAGTTTATACCCTGTTATTTTACCAACGTTTTGAATCACCTCTAGTAGCTTGGAGGAGTCTATAGAGTCCGTTAGGTACAAGTTCTTCTAAAAAAAAACAGGAATAGTTTTACTTCTTCGTGACATTCCAAATTATTTACTTGATAAATTCTTTCTTTATGTGTGTGTGTGTGCTGGTCCTAGAGCTTGAACTCAGAGTACTGCCCCTGAAATTTTGTGCCAAAAGTTAGCACTCTATCATTTGAGCCACAGCTCAAATTCTGGCTTTTTGCTGGCTAACTGGAGTCTCATAGACTTTCCTACCTGAGCTACCTTCAAACCATGATCCTCAGATCTCAGCTTCCCCAGTACCTAGGACTACAGACATGAGCTACCAGCACCTGACTAAATTCTACTTCATAAGCTCATTTATCTGTTCATAAGGTTTCCTAGCCTTATACCATCCTAACACATTTGACTTTTGCATTATTTTCAACATTTCTGAACACTTAAATAATTCAATTATTTGTAGATAGTACTTAAGGGAAGAGAAAAGAAGTACAATAAAGACAATCAGTCAACTGGTTAAGTTTCATGTTCTTTTCTAAAAAAAAATACTGTATATATTTAACTCACAAGTAAAACTGAATAGAATTTCCCCCTTATCTTTAATTTTTAACCTTTCCTCATACTTCATTGAGATGAGTATCTCAATATAACTTAGTCATGACCTGGAAATACCAAAGTAGATATAAAATTCATATAAGCCCGGAAAATTTAAGATAAAAACTTAACCAATTACCTCTACTAACTTAACCAGTTTATTCAAGCAGCAATTCACATGCCATCTTATTCTATGAAATATAAGAATGTTTCCAACATCTATTATTAACAGAAAGTTTATTCAGTAAAAAAGCTGTATGCAATGATCCCATAACTAATTATAATTTAAAATATAATGAAATTTTTCTCTTGATCCCATTTTACATTTCAGATCATTTCAAATACATACCTTCTTTGTTAATTGCTTCAATCTTGGCAGGATAATAGCGACAGTCTGTCCAACGAGCCAGGACTTCTTCTCCAGCTTTAAAATCCTATTTTAAACAACTTTTAAGATCAATTCCATGTATAATACATATGCATTTCCTTAACATAAACAAGCTTTGTAAAATTTAACACAATCCTTTAAAAACGTATCATTACAATTTAACAAAAGTTGCAAATAAAAAAAATCTTGCTACTTACAAAGAAATCTTCCTCATCTTTTAGTCCTTCTTTTCTTAGTGCAGGTCTCTCAAGGGGTCGCAACCTATTGCTATCCCAGTAAATCCATTCATCATAGCGATGACTCCAACGCTCAAAATGGACTAACATCTTGCCCTCCTCATAGTCAATTTTTTCAATTCGTGATGGATACCTCAAAAATAAAAAAGCCTCATATCAAGAGGAAATACTTGTATTTGTTTATCTAAAGTATGAAATAGATTTAACTATTGCTTATCATTAAAACTATCAACAAAAATAGTACGTCCATATTTTTGAACTATTAAACCCATAAAGTTTGTCTTATTATTGTCTTTTGTTAATGAATTGTATCAAGATCTGAGGAAAAAAACTATTTGATATACTTCAACTGGGGGCAAAAATTACTGTTTGAAGTACTCCTGACATGAATCAAGGGCTTTAAACATATTTCTATTTTAATGTCCCAAGATTTTCAATTCTGGAAATTGATAAGCAAAGTATGATTTGTATGGCAGAGAAAATAGAAACCACCTGAAATATGTCTGGAAAAACTGAAGAGTGCACAAACAATAAAATGTATACTGAGTAGATTATTAGTCTTCAAATGTGATGTTTACAAGGAATTTATGATGTGAAAATATGCAAGCAGCACAATATATAGATTACATAGAATAATATATCAATTATGTTTAAAATAAAACACAAGAATATGCCAACATGTACATCTATCTCTATGTGGCCTAAGTACACCTTTTTCTCTGTTCTAATGTTTTATAATGAACATAAATGATACTAAGAAAAAGCTCAGTAAAGCCTTCAATCTTAAAGTACAAAACAAGTCACTGCTTTGCCTTCATGTGTGATGATTCTTCTATGATTACTTCCAAACTAGAAAATTAGTTCACTAGAGTTTTTAGAAAGAAAATCGCCTCATCATTTATATCCTAATATACTATAATATACTAATTTTAGTATACAAATACTACTATAGGCAACATGTTTTTTAAATTTTATTATAAGAATGACATCAGAGGGGTTAGTTATATAAGTAGGGTAATGAGTGCATTTCTTGTTGAACATTGTTACCCCCCTCCCTTGTTTTCTCCTACCTTCCTTCCCCTCTGCGGGTCCCCTCCCCTACTAAGTTGTAAAGTTCATTGCCAACATACTGTACTGTGAATATCACTGTTGTAATTCACCCTTTGTCCTTTGTCTCACCATTTTATTATTCCCCTTCCCTTGTATAAACATATATACAAGACACAAGGTACCAAAATACAAAACAGTGACAACATGGAATAAACCAAAGGAAAAAAAGAAATAATGTCACACTGTACATTAAAAAACAAAAACACAGAAAAAAACAAAGAAACCCTTGTTTCCATATCTTAGAGTTCATTTCGATTAGCATCAATTTATATGATCCTATGTACATAACTATTGAGCTATTGTGATCCTCTGATAGGGCTATACTAGACATATACTAATTATTACAAATGAGGGAAACCATGGAGACTGTCTCTTTGTAGCTGGCTACTTCACTTAATATGACTTTTTTCTAAGTCCTTTCATTTCCTTATGGGGCAATGTCATTCTTTCTGATGGAGGCATCGACTTCCATTGTGTATATATACCACATTTTCTTGATCTGTTCACCTACTGAGGGGCATCTGGGTTGGTTCCATATCTTAGCTATGGTAAATGCTGCAATGAACATAGTTGTGCTTGTAGCTTTAGTGTGGCCTTGTTTGTGGTCATTTGGGTAAAGACCCAGACATGGGATTGCCAAATCATAGAGGAGCTCTATGTGGAAAGCTCTGCTTTCCAGAGTAGTTGAACTAGTTGACATTCCTACCAATAGTGTAGTAGTGTTCCCTTTCTGCCACATCTCCACCAGCATGTATTACTATTTGTTTTCTTGATAATGGCCATTCTAACTGGGGTGAGGTATAATCTCAATGTAGTTTTGATTTGCATTTCTTTTATGGCCAGAGTTGTTGAACAATTCTTCATGTGCCTATCAGCTATTCTTATTTTCTTTCCAGAGAAGTCTCTTTTTAATTTTTTAGTCTACTTATTAATGGAGTGGTTGTTTGAGGATTTGTTTTGGGGGGGTTTCATTTTTTGAGCTCTAGGTATAATTTTGATTTAGGCCCTTGTCTGTTATATGGCTAGTGAACATCTTCTCCCAATCTGTGGACTTTCTACTTCTCTTGCTAGTATGTCCTTTGCCATGTGTAAGCTCTGCAGTTTAGTGCAGTGCCATTTATCCAGCCTTTCTTTGATTTGTTGTGTTTCTGAATTTTTATTTAGGAAGGTGTGACCTGTGCCAAGGAGCCCTAGTGTATTCCCTATCCTTTCCTACAATATTTTCAGGGTATCTGCTCTTACCTCAAGGTCTTTGATCCATTTGGAGTTGATTCTAGTGCAGGGTGATATATAAGGATCTAACTTCAATTTTCTACACATGTATAGCCAATTCTGACAGCACCATTTGTTGAAGAGACTGTCTTTCTTCCATCTAATAATTTTGGCTCCCTTATCAAAGATTAGGTGGTCATAGGTCTGTGAAATCACTTCTGGGTCTTCAATCCTTTTCCATTGCTCCTCAGGCCTGTTCATGTACTAGTACCAAGCTGTTTTAATAACTACAGCTTTATAATAGAGTTTGGCATTTGGCATTGATATTCCTCCAGAACTGTTTTTCCCACTAAGGATTGTTTTTGCTATTCAGGGTCTTTTAGTATTCATTATGAATTTTTGGATTGCTTCTTCTATTTCATTAAAGAATGTTGTTGGGATATTGATGAGTTTTGCATTGAATATAGCTTTGGGCAGTATTGCCATTTAGGTGACAAGTTTTAAAACAAATTTGATTAAATAAATAACACCAAGAACCCAATAGCAAAACTTTTCTATATTTGGATAAATTTGCAATTTTTGTTTTCCCTATGGGATCTCAGCTTTAAATACACAAAACAATGAAATTTTTGTTTTATGGAACAACTGTGTCATAAAAGATCTTTTATTCATCTCAATAACCTGAATTTGTCTCTAATATAACTTTTTAGCTCTCTTGACATTTCATCTTATTTTTATCTCATGATACTGAACATACCATGCTTGGTCAAGCCATGTGTGCTTTTTCTACATTATATTGTTTATTCTCAGCTCTAGACTGCCCTTCCCTTCATCTACTCATGGTTCAGGACTTAACATGTAGCCACTTGTATGGAAACCTCCTTAAATTCCCTTCCATTCTTACAACAGGTACCAAAACTGACTGCTGTGGACAGTTTTTATTCTTGGAGATGGAGACATTGCAACGTGTAACACAAGAAAAAAAAAAGGTAACAGGATCAAATATGCTAGGAAACCACTGAATTTAAGAAAATTAAACTGTTATCCAGGTGCCAGTGGCTCATGCCTGTAATCCTAGCTACTCAGGAGGCTGAGATCAGAGGATTGTGGTTCAAAGCCAGGCTGGGCAGGAAAGTTTGTGAGATGCGTATCTCCAATAAACTACCAGAAAACCAGAAATGGTGTTGTGGCTCAAGTGGTAGAGCATTCGCCTAGAGCTAAAATGCTCAGGGACAGTGCCCAGGCCCAGAGTTGAAGCCCTATGACCAAAAAAAAAAATCCATAGATGAAAATACATTCCAGAAAACATAGGGAATTATGTCACTCATCTTTTCAGGAAATGTTCATTAAACATTTGTGGAGAAAGAACACAGGTAAGGAGCATGATACAAAAATACTACTGCAGCTGGTAAGCTCTGGGTGTAAACTGAGCCATGCTCATCTTCCTAGTCCCCAGCACAGAGACAAGATACACAATGGCCACTCAGAGTGCTTAGAAGGGATAAGATGTAACATTAAAGGAAGATAATCTGCATGTTTTCCCCAAGACCTTAATTTAGGTCTGAACCTTTTTAGGAAAATTGATGCAAGGCTACATTCCAGTATAGAAAAGCATAAACAAGGAAATCTATGGTATTCACACACTCTTGAGGTAGACATGCCTGTACAAGTCACCAAGAATCAAAAAACATCTTTTTCAAGGTTGCTCTCATTTTGCTTCTGCTGCTCTAATTTCTTAAACATGAAAATTGTCAACAGCACTAAGAGAAGCCTAGGATAAGACTGTCGACTGTCTGTCCTTTATTGCAGCATTCATTAGCTACTATGAAGAGATTTTGTGTAACTTATAAAAATTGATATATTCTTCTTATAACATAAGCACTTCTATTTTCTTATGCTGTTCACTGTCTAAATTGTCAGAAAAAACTAAGTTTTTTCAAATTCAAAATTTATGCTAATATATAGTAAAACTTTTCTCAAGTAAGAATAAGCTGGTTCAAGTAATAAGATACATTTTCTTTCCCTTTTTCTCTTTATTTTATTTGAAAAACTTGGATTTGAACCTCAACATTAGAACCATTATACCACTTCAGCCAAACTTCTAGCCCTTAATACTTCAGTTACTTTTCATAAAGTCTCATAGTTTTTTAACTGGGGTTTATATCAAACTTCAATCCTACCTTTGCCTTCATCGTTGCTGGGTTTATAGCTGTGAATCATCACAACTGCACTGTTTCACTAGACAGGGTCTCATGATATTTACATGTAGGCTGGTCTCAAATCACAATCCTACTCCCTCCTCTCAAGTAGCTGGGATTATAGGCATGAGCCACTAGGCCCAATTCACAGCTCTACTTTAGTTAAGAATGGCAATATAAATGAATTGTTAACCTCAATTGAATCTTTGAGTAACTTATGGTTTTTCTGATATCTCAAATTTTGTTGGCTGAAGTCTTGAAGCAACAGTCAGGTTAAAAATTACATTGTAGGAAACCTCTTTCAGGATAAATAACAGAATAAATAACTAAGGAGAATGATAAATTTATGATTAAGGCCAAGAATTAAATAAGTAATTGAGATCATCAAGATTATAACCTATTTAGCTTTTCACAAAGTTTCCTACTCAAATTTTGATTTTCTGGGACTTTATATATTCCAGGAAGGATTTGAACTCTCCATCTTCATGCCTGAGTTCCTGAATACTGGTGTTTACAGGCATGTCCATTTGAATTTTGAATTTTAAACATGTAAGAAATGATATGATTATCAAGAATTTCTGAATTTCTATTCATTCATTCAACAATACTTGAACACTTAGTAAGACAGACACTTGCTATGAGCTGCTGACAAAAAAAATCATAACTCCAATCATAAATAGACTTAAGAGTCAGTTAAGGAGAAGGAAAGAATATTTATTGTCATATGTATATCAGTCATTGTATTGTTTACTTACTACAGGTTGAATGCTCTTTATATAAACAGTCTTACTTGATTTTTTTGGCTACTCTCCACAGTATAGATAACATAGTCTCCATCTAAAGATGAAGACCAGTCAAAAAATATTAATGGTACAGACATTATTCAAAGCAAAGACTAACTTGCACAAAAACCTAGGCCCCATGCCAATAGGACAAAAAAGATAAGGCCTGTTATCTGAGGGATGACATTATATACAATGAAACTGGCCACATAGCATGCTTCAATAGTTCAGACTTTCAGGAAGTTTACTGAAAGTTCTTGGGAGACTTTACCCATGATAGACTTGGGGCACTAGAAGAGTGTAGATTTAAATGGTACACAAGGGTAATGTATACACAGAACATAATTAATTTGTTGATGAATATTTCCTTAAAACAGTCATAGGACTTTAGGTTAGAGAATAGCCAATGTGAAATTCAGAGACAAGAAGAATGTGGTATCTGTTCTCAAGAACTCATGGTAAAAGATGGACTTGTTAGCTTGGTTCCAACTTTTAGGGATTAAAAATAAAACACTACTAGATGAACCTTTGTTCTATAGACACCAAAGGGTCTAAATTTGCACTTAATTTAGTGATCAATGTATACCTTAGGGGGGGAAAAATCATAACATCAAGATCTTTGCAATACATGAAAAATGAAGAAAATTAGAATTTAACATATAGTTCTACACAGTGAAATCATTTCCCTGTTATAGCAGATGTTCCACAGTAATAATGCTTTGATACATACACACAGTGAGAGAAAAATATTGTTGAATAAATGGATTCAAAAATGCTTCCCTTTCTTGGAATACAATATTATCATGTTGATTCACTATTTATGTTTTACTCAAATTGACATAAGAATTTCTTACTGAATTTGGAAGATGTGGTGTTCATGTTTTTGTTTTTGTCATTTTGTTGAAGGCTAAATCCTAGGAAACTGTTAAAGAATAGTGATTATGCTCAGTCCAAGACATTTATAACTGAATTGGGAAAATATTTAAATGAGCAAACAGAGTTTCAGAGTGTAAAGTCTCAGGTAAGATGCCAAAACCATGATTTGGGACAAGTATAAAAGAAAACAACCAAAGCTGTCACCTCAAAAGTGTTCAATAGAAAGAGATGGAGAGAAGGCAACTTCACAAACTGATTCTTCAACATTAAAAGTCTACACAGAGCTCTCATACCTATTATCATCACCTGTCACTTCAAATTACTATAGAATCTCCATTATCTGCCTTTCCTCTCTAAAATTCAGACACTGTTCCAAGAAAGGCTGATGAGTGACACTGATATCAATAGAAGTAAGGGATGGCCTGCAATGCTCTGGGGAATCTACCTTGAAGCCTGAATAACAAAGTTTATTTTCAGAAAATTCAAGAAATATAATTCATCCTAAAATAAGTTCAAAGACATAAGGAATAGTAAGAATGTTACTATGTCTGACACAACATCTAATTTTTTTTAAATCACTTTGCATTCAATCTAAAGACAATAAAACAAGTCATTGCTATTTGAATTTAAGGAACTCATTCTGACTTGTCATCTAGCCTGGTATACCAGATTTTTACCTATATTCAAAAAGAAAGACAACTATAGGAAGATAAGGGAAATTCCCACATAAACTTATGATTCAGTGCTCACTGCACTTAAACTAGAACTGATTACTACTTAATAATAAGTTTATAACTCCTTGAACAGAGCAGAATGTCCTAACTAAATGTCCTAGCCAATATGATGTCAATAAAAAGGTAAAAGTTTCCTTAAATTCTCCTCAATTTATATATTAAATATTTAAGTTGATAAGACAGCAAAATTTGTCATTTCTGTCAATTTAGAAATCAACAGTTCCTTATTCATTTCATTCATTTCAGCAAAGAAAAGTGAATCACATAACAAGGTGAATCACACTAACAAGGTAATAACTAATAAAGATATAATATTTTTATACTAGCATTCAAGAAGAGTATTTTTAAAAGAAATATTCTCTTGGTGAAGGTGCTTTTAAGTTTTGAAGGATGGTTATACAGGACACAGAGTTGAAATGTTTGTGATAAAACATAATGTGCATGTTAGCAGAATCCTACAGAATGAGCATTAACTTAAATATTTTTATGGATAAGGGCTTCATTCATAACATAATATTCATCAAAATGATTGAAATTAGAAGAGCTAGAAGCAGATAAGAGCTGCCTTACATGATTGTCAAGAGAAGGATTATTTGCCAAATAAAAATCAAGGTAGATGGTAGGGGGAAAACAATGGAGGGGGTAACAATGCTCAATAGGAAGTGTACTCATTACCTTGCTCATGTAACTGTAACCCTCTGTATAGTATCTTTACAATAAAAAATTTTAAAAAATCAAGGTAAAATGTAATCCAAAGCAAACACAGTGTAACTCCTTAATATTTTTACCCTCTCAGGGAAATACTTAAGATTTACAATATGCTTTGTATTCATCCTCACCCACTGATAATTATACTGAAAATGCAACACTATTACTGTTTTAGAATTCAGTGCTTTTAGAAACTGTCTGGTAATTTTTCACTTTAAAAAAACTGAAAACAACTTTTGATTGATTTGTATGTGATATTCCACCTGAAGTAAAAATATAAAATAATCTACAATTTTAAAAACATTCAGATAATAAATAGCTTATAAATGCTAAGTCTCTCAGCACATTACTTCTCATGTCTTTACAGACCTGAACATCTCATGGCACCTGTTTAATATAAACTGTCAGTTCCACCTGCTTGTAACTTTTCTTTCCACCACATTTTCTACCACAAGAATCCAGTGGACTTTCATCAATTCTCTCTACCTCTACATTCTTCTTTTCACCAGCACTGGACTCAGCATTTATATACTATGATTTTTTGCAGACCTAGTTATTCCAGAAAATTAAGATTCTGTTACACTGAAGTTGCCTACCCCTACTTAATATTTAGCATTCAAAAAATCTTTTTTAGTCATATTTGTTTACATATCTTTGATTCTGCCTTCTTAAAATGACTATCGTTCATACTATTTAATAGTTGAAATGTTTATTAAGTATCCACCAAGTAACCACACACAATACTAAATTCTTAATGATCAGTGTCTTCATTAATCCTCAAACCCTATCTGAAACACTATTATTGATCACTTTTTTTTTTTTTTGGTTGGTCGTGGGGCCTGAATGCTGAGCCTGGGCGCTGTCCCTCAGCTCTTCAGCTCAAGGCTAGCGCTCTACCACCTGAGCCATAATACCACTTCCGGCTTTTTCTGCTTATGTGGGGCTGAAGAATCGAACCCAGGACCTCATGCATGCAAGGCAAGCACTCTATCACTGAGCTACCTTCCCAGCCCTACTGATAACTTTTTAAAAAACAGGGGCTTGCTATGTAGCCATGGCTATCCTGTAAGTCACTATGAAGCCTAGGATAGCTTCAAATGAAAGATCTCCTGTCTCAACCTACCAAGCACTGTAATTATAAACCATCACACTTGAGGCTTGAACTCAAGGCTTGGATACCACTCCTTAGGCTTTTAACTCAAGGCTAGTGTTCTATCTATAGAGCCCCAGCTCCACTTCCAGCTTTTTGGTGGTTAATTAGAGATAGGACTCTCATGGGACTTTCCTGCCCCAGCTGATTTCAAACTGCAGTACTTGGATCTTAGCCTCCTAAGAACCTAGGATTATAGGTTTAAGCCACCAGCACACAACTCTTTCCTAATTTTTGAGTGACAAAAGCTCTGAGAGGTTCCATAACTTGTTCAAGAGTGTGTGTGTGTGTGTGTGCGTGCGTGCGTGTGTGCGTGTGTGTGTGTGTGTGTTATTGGTACTACAGCCTGAAAAGACTTCACACTTTCCCTTGGCTTTTTTGCTCATAGTTTATATTCTACGATTTGAGCCCTGGCTCCAATTTGGCATTTTAGGCTTTCCTGCCTTTGCTGGCTTTGAACTTCCATCTTTAGATCTCAGCCTCCTGAGTAAGATTACAAGCATGTGTCACTGGCACCTGGTTAAGCTATATGTTTAATTATTATGGACTCTGCATTGTGTACTTGATCTTCAATTGGTCAGTAATTGTGATGTTTCAAATCTTAGCAGGTTCTAACAGAAAGATACTACAACAGGTTAAAATAATGCAAAACTGAAATATTTCTATGACTTTTTTCTTTGGAAATAGTATTTACATTTATTTTAAGAATTGTATTACTGATATTGGAAACACAAAATTAAAAAAGTAGCATCTACTTCCTCAGCTAAAAGAATATCATTTAAGACCAAAACTGAAAACCCAGAAAAGTGGCAGATGCTAGTTCTGTCCATTCAGCAAAACTAGAACTGCAATCAATATATTCTTCTTAGTAGTTAACTACAACAGATAAATGGCTTTTAATCAGCTCCCATCAAAAAATAAACCATCGGGCTGGCTGGGAAGGTGGCTCAGTGGTAGAGAGCTTGCCTTGCATGCATGGGGCCCTGGGTTTGAAGAGCTGAGGGACAGTGCCCAGGCCCAGAGTTTAGGCCCCACGACCAGACCCCCCCCAAAAAAAATACAGGTTTTCAAAGTGGAGATGGAGAAGAAGGAGCTGTGCTGATTACTTGAGCAAAAAAAAACAAAAAAAAAAAAACCCATCACTTAACGTGATGTGACCAGCCTGAAAAGTTAGCACACACAAGAACAGCATTCAGAAGGAATGATGTTAGGGATATAGAAATATGTATGTGAATTGTATGTGATGAATGTAATCTGGTCCAATGTCAGATAAACTAATAAAAATGTCTTCTCTCTTGGTCTAACCTATTGCCTTTATATGACACAGACATAGAATAAGTTCAGACTGACTTTGTAGGATAGATATACCTGAAATTTACCTGCCTTACCCAAGTTCTCTGATCCCAAAGAACAAGATAACAGACTTGCTGGATATATAGGACCCTTCTTAACACCAGACATACAGCACTAGAGTAAGTCAGGAATTATGATGGCCTATGAACACCAAGCCCACTTAGTCAACTGAGGCTCAAAGCTTTAGAGAATCTGTACATGGGGCAATGGGTTATAGTACAGACATTGAACCAAATGCCTCAACTTTCTGTTCTTTTTGTTACAAATATTATCTATGTTTTTTCATTTTTCTCAACTCAATTTTCTCTTCTTCTAAGTGACTGGCAAGATGAACAGAATATATGTGACTTTGTCATGTCTTTCTTACTTCAGCATCGGGTTTGTTATTTACCTGCCTGAAACTAAGATTTTTTTTAAAATGCCATGAAGAAAGAGCTGAAAACAGAGTTTTAAAAAATTTGAGCTTACCATTCAAAAGAACCTAAGCTAACACTCCTGCACTCCCACTGGCAGGACCTGGAGGCAGAAAAACATCTCTCTGCACTTACAATTCTTATTTTAAGGCTTCTGGTTAAAATTTATTGTTTTTCCAATATACCATCTCTTTCCTTTACAAGAAAATTAGATGGGCATAAAAATAAAACAACCCCCCAAAAAGCCTTTATGGTCAGAAAACTTGTTAAAAAATGACATAATGAAAGGAAGAACATGAAATCAAGAAGAACTAGCAGAACCAACCATATTCATTTTGTATGTCTATGCTGCCTTATTTCTATTTGTGCCTTTCAGAATAGGGGTAGAGGTGGTTCCTATCTTTGACACCATTAAAAAGAGTAAACAGGGATTTACTTTATGGAAAATTTTAATATTATGGAATTAAAACATTTGTACAATGGTATAAACCTGCCCAGTAGTTAAACTGATGGTATACTTAGACAGTAAGATTAAAAAATTGTAATTATCTAAGTGTAATCAACTTCAGAACAAAGACTAATTCAAATTTGAATTCCCTGGAGAAGGGTCCCTCACCTGCAGTCCATAGACAAGATTTGTGAACTTAGAAACTCAATATATAATTATATTTATATATACTTTTTTTCTGAATCTACAGTTAAAATTAGCTTTTCTAAGGTAGTTGAGTCATAAAAATAATATATACATTGGACAACCTTATATGTAAAAGGATAAAAATTTTCTTTATATAACAAAAAATAATCTCCATTTGAAAAGTATTCAACTAATATTTTTATAAATTTTAAGTTCATCAAAGTAATATAAATATGGAATCATTTCTAAAATGCAATCCAGATACTACTTTATGGGAGCATTCACCTACCCTAAATGTAAATTGTACAACTTATCTCTTCTAATGTTTTCTTTTGAGTAACTAAGTTCAATCAGAAAAAGTAATGTTTAATTCAGAACATATGTATTTCTTTTAAATTAAAAGGCATTTGTACTTGCTACAATCTTAATTCCCTCAATTTCAAACTCTATTAAAATTCTGTTCATGACCATCTTAAGAAACTCACATTTGCAAATGTTCCATACAGTTCATAAACCTCCAAATGTGTGGAAACAGCATTTGCCAATTCAAATTTATCCTGTTCTATCAAACTCTGATACTTTGAGACATCTCCACATTTTTTAAATCTTTCCTTTTCTTTAGATCTAGAAGAGAATTAAATAGAAATATTCCAAAAGGAGTCAGAAGAGCATAACTCATCTGAATGTTTTAAATTGACTCTATGTTTCAAATTCCTTTTAAGACTAACATCAGCATATTACTTGATCTGTTTTGTTTTAATAACTAGATTGCTTACTATAAAGTAACTATTGTAATTCTAACCAGAAAACATAAGTTAAATCAATAGTCAATACCAGTTTTATCATTACCAAACAATATTCATATTGATCAGACATGTTAATAGTTGAAGAGTGCTCTGTGAGCCATAAGACTATGAAAATACAAGAATTGATCATCTCAAAAAATATTGTCTATAGCTTGTTGTAATGACAGATTTTTTTCCTTCCGATTCTAAATCACTCTTATGTCAATACTAATGCTCCATTTAAAAATTAATGATTAAGTCTTCAGCTCCCCAGAGATACTTCAACTCTCCCTCTTTCCTTGCATTTGTTAATGGCTTATAATTTATATTTAAATTTGTTTAATTCAAAGCAAGTTTAAACATACATGCTCAACTGATCCCTAAAAATCAACCTGTAAATAAAAAAAAAAAACAGTATTACTGCTTCCATTTTAGGGATAAGTGAACTAAGACTTACCCATACTTACATAATTAGCAACTATCTAGATTTAAACCCAACCACTTACAGTGTGTCAAGTATAATTCCAACTCTAAACCTTCTCTTTCCCCAAAAGCATTCCTGAATTAAAACACCTGTATCATTTTCATCCATACAATGTCACTATCTTCTAGAGATTATAAAACTGCATGTCAAGGTAGGAATGGACAGTGGTTATGGTAGAAATATGATGGAAATGAGACAGAGAATGACTAACTGTTTTAAGGGAACTAGCATTAGTCTATCCTTAAGCAGACTATTAAAGAGCTATAGAACATCTGACTACAGAACATCTGAAATTTAAAACAGCTCATGCTTCTCAGGGGAATTGGGTTTACTCAAGTAAATACAAAAAGTAAATAGTAAAATTAAGGTAACTGACCTCTCAACTGCTTCTCAGGACTTACACTCACTGGTATTGGTAAATACTCAAATTATCAATGAGTTTTCTTATGTAGATGTAGGCTAACTTTGGAAATAAAGTCTAATAAGTCAAGACTTAAGAATACAGTATATTTTCTAAGATAATTTTGTAAACTTTATAAGGAGTAAATGATATGGCTTACTTAAGCAGTAATAATATACTTTTTCTAGAAAAAAAGATTAAATGTTCCTATTAAATCATATGTACCTGAAAGCAGGAGTTTAACTTCATTTTATTTCTGACTACTACACTGAATTTATCATTGTATTCTAGGATTCCCACCAAAATGTATCTTCCTTTTTATAAGTAAAAAGGCTTATATACACAAAACAGAATCAGCTTACTGGCATTTTGAGTTTCTGCTATTATCACTTACACCTGATTTTTTTATGACTGTTTTGCTGTGTCATGATGGGGACTGAACCCAGGGTTGTATACATGCTAGGCTCTATGCTCTATGAACTATGCTATCAACCCTCTTTTATTTTGAGGCCGATTCTCACTAAATGGCATAGGCTGGGACCCAGAATTTATGATCCTCTGGCCTGGACCTCCAGAGAAGTTGGGATTATAGGCATGAAACACTGCTCTTTAAAATGAAATTTATCAACATGTGATAAGTTAATTCCTTAATAACAGAGGCAGAGCTTAGTGTAAATGTCTTGGGAACAAAGAAAGTAAGCAAGATTTGGAATCCTGTCCAACTGTATCTATCCAATATCTATTACAGCTCAAACTACATTTATATCCAATGACTCAATAATTCTCAAATCTTAAAAGAATTTGGAAGATGAAATATTTAATAAGGATGCAAAAGCAATATGCAAGAAAAGAGGAAAGAGCAAAGGAGGGAGAGAAATGTTTCGATATATTTAAACTATTATCTATTCTGTTACGCGTGAGAATGTCAGAAGTTTGTTTCTCAATAATCAAATAACCTTATACCTGATATTAAAGAAAAATATTTAAAAAATTTATATGAAAACTAGAAAGAACTTTAACAAATGTAATATCCTTGTATGATATATAAATATGATACAATATAGTTTATTATCTCATTTAGCTCTAAAACCCATTAAGAATACTGTCTCAATATGGTCTCACAGAACTTTTATGCCACATATAAATTAATTTAAGCAATTTAGCAGTTGTTCCGTGTTTACCATTTAATACTAAATTTAAAACTAATCTGAGGCTAACTAGTTCTTGATACACTACTGATATTTAAAAAACAAAAAACAGATATTTGAATTTATTACAGATTATGAATATGCACATAGCTTTAAAGCCACCTAAAGCAAAATTGCAAAAGTCTTTATATAAAGGATCTGATAAAAATATCAAATCAATGATGTCGTTTCAACCACAATAATATTTATGCTAGTTTTCTGCCCATTACTTCAAGACCATTACTGGAGTAATGCAGATTGAACCTAACCTTCAACAAAGAGAATACTTGCACATAGTATTAACATATCTAATAAGCAGTAAGTGCTTCCTGATGAGAACCTACAACTTGGCTTCTTCTTTGAAATTCCAAATACTCTAAAAGCACAAACCACTATAGTATATTTAATCCTACGAGTACCTCCTTTTATAATCTTTTTCTTTTAACTACCATATCATAAATTTAACAGTCATTGAATTAAAAAACATTTCACTACCAAAAGTTTATCACCAATATGAAAATTATGGTACTATCTGTAAACACTACTTAAAGAACTAATGAACTATGTGCTTCTCCAAAACTGGAAGCTAGTTCAACTACAGCTTTGTCTGCTGAAAAGCCAAAGAGAATATATGGAAAAGAATTAACTAGTTATTCACAGAATCAAGAACTTAAAAAATATTAACATCAAAACAGAAGTATTATTTCTGTTCTCTTACATCACACATAGATGTAGTAGTGTATCTTCACAATGATAGACTCCTATTGGCCAAATCAGAACAAGGCTTACTGCATAAGCCTTCATCTTTTGTTGTATGGTCTAATGCAGTGTTTCTTAGAAGCATTTTCCCACCACTATGTTTCCTTCCCCCACTGATATTTGGCAATAATATAGAGACATTATTATTACTACTAGGATGGAATTGCTACCTGGTTCCCACATGCTTGGCAAGTTTCTTCTCAGAAACACTATGCACACTCTCCACCTTCTTTTAAAGAACTCCCCACTAAGATAAAGCTGGAGGAAAGGGGCAGAATAATGTGCCCCTCCATTTCAAACCGTAGCTTCCAAATACACTAAAGCAGAATCTGAGACTATGGTGTCAGGGAGTGTACTGAGCTCTAGATGAGATGTTAAAAGACTGGAATTCTAAAGTCTAAAGTCAAATGTCATGATTAAACAAGATTTCTATCATTGCCAACTTAGAAAGTTGACTTACTATATATAAATCAATCAAAAATGCACTATGGTTTTAATGGAGCTGCAATGACAGAAAATGTCAAAATGTCTGGTAAATAAAGTCCTGAAGTTGCTAAACAACTAGATACTTGCTCCAAGTTTCAACAGGTCTCAGCAGAATCACAGGTAGCACTGCTCCAAGAGGAGCCCTTCTGAGGCTAAGGATCTGAGAATGAAACAAGAGGACATCTGCCAAGAAAGTACAAGTAGTGTTAGCCAGTCTAAATGAGGTACTACTTCTCTAGGAATCTTCTATACCTACTGGGGGCCAGTGACCCCTGCAAGCTGCTTCCCTTCTCTCCTTTACATATGGTTGGCACCTTTTCCTACACAACTTTTAAGGGGAAGGTTGTAGGTATTTGCACTGACAGCTTACCACAAATGGCCAAACAAGGAAAGAAGTAGAGTTGTGAGAGGATTGTTTGCCATTTACTGGTCACCCTACTACAGTGCTGTGCTTTTTAGGGAAGAAGGAAGTTGGGTGCCATTTTGAAAGAGAGTACTAGATCTAAACTGTGGAAAAATACTATAATAATCAATAATATTACTCTGTGGTTTGAAAATCATCCTCTAGCAAGGGAAAGAAAACAGGCCTATCAAAATGTATCCAAAAGTTAGGAAGATGATTATCTGAATTCCTTCTTTTGTCACCTCCCCCAAATAGTTTATGTTAGGCATACAAAAGCACTAATACTCTCTATTCTACATATTCTAGAACATTATGTTCAGGACTCAAACATCTAAACTGATTATGATCATACTTAATAAACCTGACTACAGTTTTAGAAAAGAGTAAAATCTAAATCCAATAATATTATATTCAAAATGCAATATACTAATGTCTCCTCTACTATCAATAGGATTAATAGTAATTAACTGACATATGTAAAGTTATAGATACTACAAATTAGGTCAAAATTCTCTATTTTCCATACCATTTTTGTAAGTAGTCCAGTGCCTCCAAACGAGCACCAATCTCAAAAGTGATTCCAGGACGATTTGGGGGTTTTTTACTCATCTTGAGAGCCTATTCTTCAGTATTCTCTTTTCACTACCTCAAGAAGAAAAACAAAGTTAGATTCGAATAAATAAAATGCATAGAAGATATAGTGTAGTGGAACAGGCAAAATTCAAACTAAATCATTGTTAAACAATAAATGATAACTTAGAATAGCTGATTAAAACAGTTAACAACCAATGTTTCTAGGAAAAATAATGTGCAACCTGCAGGAATTCTCAGTAAAGAATTAAGAAAAAGGGATATGGAAGTAATAACTAACTAAAAAGAAAAAAAGATGAGACATTAAAATTTGCTAATAGATTTTAAATATTTAAATATACTTAAATGTATTTAATATATTTAAAAGATTTTCTATCTTTTAAAGTTAAGAGAATTGTTCTGTAATGATTGTTATAATTCTTAAGAGGATAAACATAATTTTCATGTAATTTCAATTACTATTTTAGTGCTTCATACTACAAAACCCAAAATAATATACCAGGAATACAGAAAGATGGAAAAAATAGCAGAGAGCATGTGCCAGCCAGCCTCTGGTAGTTTTGCTTGTGATCAGGATGTCTCATTACCTGCTGCCCCCTCCTGGATAGCAACTGATTTTTCATATTTAATATGCAGTAATGTCTTCACTGAGAATGTATTGTTCAATGTTTTACTACCATACTTATACTAACTAAGTGTTTTTAATGTTAAAACCTGAAAAAGAGCACCTGTTTCTCTCTAGGTCATTCACATGTAAATGGTTTACTACACTATGGGGCACACTAGCCACCTTCCACAGTTGAGGTGTGCTGTTTTCACTACAGTATGTAAAGAATACAACATTTTGTAATGAACACATAGCCTAATCAAAATACAGATGGCATAGTCTAATCAAACTATAATCAGCAATGAGAAATAGAAACCTATTATTATTGTCGGAGAGATTCCTAAAACGTTTTGATATTTGAAATTACTATTCACTATGCTCCCTCCAGTTTAACACGTACACACACACACACACACACACACACACATATCTGTGTAGTCTCTTATAATGGTGTGACCACAACATGTAATAGACAAAACATAATAGCAAACAAAAAATATGTCTACCCTTTTCTGTCTTGGGAGTGAATCTGATAGGTAAGGGGGAAAAAAAACCACAAAACAGCATCAACACTCACTATAAAAGTATGTAAAATCAACCTCAAAACTCATGGTTTGAAGGATAGTGAAAAGCTTTTCCTTCTAGAGCATCAGCAAATATTGTTTAAAATTTAACAGGAATTTGGGCTGGGAGGTACTTTGTGTACAGGGAAAAACATGGATATTTTAATAGGAATTTTATCTGTGTACAACACATAAGGTTACTTATATGTGTAAAAATCAAGCCAGACTTCTTGCTGCTCACAGGAAAAGGTCGGTAAGAGGTAGTTCACTACCTACACTAGCATTTGCTAGGATCAAACTTAAGTCTACAAAAGACATGATAATCCCCCAGTGACATTAAGGGAAGAAGTACAAGAAAGAGCCTTTCTGCCTGGGGAGAGAGGGGAGAGAGATGAAAGGTTTGAATTAAAAACTTGCAAAATAAAACAATCTGTTGGTGGGGGGAGGGGAGGGAAACACATGAACCAAAAAGAGGAGGCTGAGAAGGGGGAAAAAAGGGCAAGAAAGGAAGCTGAAAGAATGGCAAAAAAAAAAAAAAATTAATAAATGTCCAAGAGGATGTTCGTTGTGGGAGATGACAACTGGGAGGGAAGAGAAACTTAGTAATTTCTCACAGAGGAGCGAAAAGCAGTTAAAGCAAGGGTCAGAGGAGGACGGCGAGACTACAGACGGTGGGGGTGAGGCAGGACCTGGCCTCGGGGTGGCAGGAGACCAGCAGGGGAGGCTGGGAAGGGGCTGGCTGGCAGCCCGCGGAGTCCAGGTTTGACAGCCACCCGGCCCCGGCAGGGGGGAGGAAGGGAGGGGAAGGGCCAGCGGCGGCGCCGAGACAATGGGGCCGGCGAGTTGCGGGGAGGGGGGCGGGCGGGGAGCGGGCCCGGGAGTGACACCGGCGCGGGGAGGGGGGCGCCCGGGCGGCCAAGCGGAGCCCCTTCGGCCTCCAGGCCCCGCCGCCGCCTCTTACCGACTCGGCCTCCTCTCCACACAGCAGCCGGGCCGTCCGGGGCCGAGCCGGGGCTCGAGTGGGGCTGCCAGCCCGGGCCTCTGCCTCCGCCCGCACCCAGGCAGCGGCCGCGGAGGGAGCAGGAGCGGAGGGAGCGGGGCCTCGGTTCCCCCGTTGGCCCGGAATTGCGCGGGAGGGAGCTGGGTCCGAGCCCTCAAGCTCGCTCGGGTTCCGCTGCCATCGCCTCAGCCTCCGCAGCGGCTGCCGCCGGACAGCCCTGACGCGACGACCGGCCTGGCGACGTCAGCCGCCCGCGACGCACCGGAAGCGGGACTATCCGTGTCACGTGACCTGTGAGGGTTGGGCTCGGGCCGCGCAACTGATTGGAGGGCAGCACTGAAAGGCGGAGCCTGGTCCATGTTGAAAGACAGCTGAGTGGGAGGTGTCTGGATCTCTTGTGGGCAATTGTAGTGTTGGACTTTTGCAAGACGGGACTCCAAGACCATTGGTTATGATAGTTGATTTTATGAAGTCCAGGTGCCCCAAACTCCTCTATGCAGGGCATGGTGCAAGCTTCTGCTTTGTTTTCTTTTCTTTTTCCTCCTGGGACTGGGATTTCAACTCAAGGCTTTTCTTGGTTTTGCTTGGCAGGTGTGCTACCACCACATGAACCACATCCCCAGCCGCATCACAGGGTTTTTATAAATGCACTACTACACACTTTCTAAGATATCCTTTTCCTAACACATTGAGAACAGAAGAGTTGCTAAAATGTCTGTCAAACAGTCTATTGCAGACACTATGTTGTAAATATATCATAGGTCTGTAAGCATTATGCCCACCTTTGGTTCTCAGCTCTACCCAGACCTGAGCTCCTCCCATCCTGGAGTTCCCGCCATACAGCTGGCCACTCCCTGTCTTCCCCCAGACCCACCTGAGTACCCACCTACCTCACTTCCTGCCCCCAGACCTCCTGCTACCTAGATAGTGAAGGGTGCCTTATGCTCCCTCTTGGGAGAAATATGGCTCCTCTAATAAACCTTCTAATAGTCTTTCTTCTGTGCCTGCCTGCCTTGGCGTCCTGGAATGGATGTGAAGGATTCCTTTCATTGTCAACTACAACACAATTGTTCTGCTGCACCATCTAGACCTTTACAATACAAATATATATATATATATAACCAAGATGGGGGAGAGGGTAAAACTGTAGAACCTATGGCTACCTTGGTGGAATTACTGCCCAGACTACACAGCTAATGAGAGCACATAGACTGAGTCCCAACAGTATCCAAAGACAGTGCTAAGTATGTAGGACAATGTCTCAGCCCTACAGGGAGAACCTACCAGTGATCACAAAGTAATATGGAGAAGAAACATCTATTTTTTTTTGGCCTGTTTCCACTGTACTGCTCTGGTTCCAAGTTTTCAAAGTGTATCGTTGCATACACATGATACTTTTGTCTTTCTTCATAGTGTAGTTAAAATAGCAAAGTAACTCTCTTTAAGCTTCAATAGAGGAATATTGGGTAAATTAAGCTACCACATTCATATTCATCCTTTTATTCAAAAGACACTCATTCAGCACCTCCTGTGTTGCTAATAGCTGCTTGAGCTACACTGCACATGGTGGTACATAAAAGGCTACAAATAAGACAGTCAGTAGGGGAGAGATGTTTGTCTTTTTTTTTTCTTTTTGGTTGTTCAACATATTCAATCCTTTTGATATTTAAGCAAATTTCTTCTATAATTGTCATTAATTCAGTGTCCCAGATACTTCTAAAATCTATCTTTGGGCACAGCAGGATAATATTTTTCACCCTCCTTACTATTGTGGGTGACTATCTGAGTTGCTACAAAACAAAAATAGAAGAGAACTTCATCAAAGTTATCTGGAAATGTAAGAAGGTAGTTCACCAAGCTGTGTGCCTAGCGTTGTAAATAGCAGTGATATAATAGGTGCTCTAGCAACCCAGGTTCCAGATAAATAATGGTGAGACCAGTAACGATTAATAATATATAACCAATATATAAGAAAAATATTTATTGCATAAAGATATTTACTGAGAGTTATTGTTACACAATATTATATTGCCCAAACTGATTAATCCACACATTCAGGAATATTTATTAGAGACAGTCAACATACCACTGAATAAGATAAAAACATCAGAAACTCATATTTTGAATTTCCCTTGAAACAAATTGGCTGAAAACAATGCTGATTACATTTAATTATCTAGGACATTTTATCTAATATAGCTAAGGATATTCAAATTAAAACAAATATTTTTCAGCATCAGTATCAGTACCAAGAATCAAGTTTCTGACTTTTAACCTAGGCCTTAATGATATCCATGCCTGATAGAGCCCCCTGCTTACTAATAAAAATATTATATACTACTGAAGTTTTAATAACTTAAATGAAACACAAGGGTAATTTTGTACTTTAAAACATAAAAGATAACCCAGTTGTACTCACTTTCCACTATTGGTTGAGGATTTACCAATTTATCCCAACAGATGACTCTTCTGTTTTAATTGGGACTTTATAGAAGCAATTTCATCACAGCAAGTTTAAAGAACAAAAATAGAAATGTGTTCATGTGCAAAGGAGTGATTGGAATGGATTGTTCAGGGTGTCACTTTTGAATTCATGTCATCCCATACAGTGTGCATTGGAAATAGGAGAGAGGGTATTTTTCATTGACATCTGATTGCAGAAGGACACTCCTACTATTTAGGAAGGAGGGACACAAGAGCTGCTAGGTATAACAAAATACACAGTGAAGTCTATACACTGAAGCATTTCCATAGGTCACATACAGCTTCTCGATGACACTCATACATTTGAAAAACCTGTCTATAATTGTACATAAAACTTAAATTTTACATGTAAATACTTTGAAAGATTTTAATCTATATTTCAAGAATGAAGCAACTATGTAACACAAACGAAGATCATTCATTTTTTTCTGAACATTAGCAATATGTTATTCAGCTTTAAAATACCAGATCTTCAACAGCTAAGCTATCCCCAAGTATTTGAGGTACAGCTAGGACGCACCAGTCTGTATTGGAGATGTTACATAAAGAGTAAATATAAATTTCAGCGCAAACACTTGGCCACTTTATTATACTTCTTTGTGAGCTATAACTGAACATTATATACTGAAAATATCTTATGATGCATTGTTTCCATAACATGTATGCTTTGTATGTCATGTCATGACAATATCTTAAATAGATGGGTGTAGTTTATTATTGATGAATTTGATTTTAGGAAAGTAGAAAGTGTGCTACACCATATATGCTCTAAGAAGGGATATTAAAAATCAATAAAACTCTAAGTCAGCAGTCTTTCCTGCACTCCAGAACAATGCAGACTCCTTCAGCACATTCACACTTGGACTTCTGAGTCCTTGCATACTGGCTCCTCATTGACTGTAGAATTCACTCCTTCATTCCTTCACATATTTACCTGTGGAATCATTCAAGCAATGGTTCCACTTTTCATGTGAGCCTTGGATAGTACGTACTTTTATAACTGTTGCTTTCTTCGATAGTTTTTGTAATACACACATATATATTTTAAAATATGATCATTAAGGCCTCTATTTTGTGCAATAGAAAAAGAAAACTGAAAACCAAACATCAGGAAACTTAGAAAACGTGTCAAAGGATATACAGCTAACTGATGAGGATTTAACTTAGGTCCCTCTGACCCAAAAGTCCATGATCTGCAGATACCCTACATCATTTGGAAGGCATTCTGTCCTATTCATTTTGTCTTGGTCAGGCTGTGAGCCAAAAAAAAATGGATAAAACTAACTATCTTCATGTAGGTCGTCATTCTTTTAGCCATATGGCCACAGAGTTAATGATTGTGGTGAGGATGCCAGATAGAGATAATCTAAAGATGACTCCCCAGCTATGTAATGGGCCTATGTATGGTATGTCCTCTCGCCTTTCACCTAACACACCCTCTTCCAGATGGTTGATGCCAGCCGTCAGTCACTCCACCTCCAAATATAGAAATAAACAACTTACAGCTGTGTTTGAGCAGAACCAAACAAGTCGTCGGCCAATTATCTTGAAATAACAGTTGTTAGGCAGAAATCACTGATCTAAATTCCTCCAATATTAAAACTGTGAATAGGGAGCCTTAATACTTTCTAGAATATTTGACAACTATATGTGTATCTTAAGAGAGGGAAAGGGCACCACTCAGAATCTGAAATTCCTTAATCACACATTAAACACAAAAAGGTATTTTTGTGTTTATTTAATATTTGGACTTAGCATTAGTAAAGACAAAGCAATTCAAGGTTTGCATTGTTTTATTAGATTAATTTTGTAGAAGCCTACCTGGCAATAGACAATTCCAGAAAAATCCCCCATTCCATAAATGGCAATGACATTAATGTCACTTCCTTCACTTGCAAAAGCACATTAGTTTTGTCTCTCTGATACTATGTCCATTTATTAAGCAACCGGAGATATAATTGTTCCAGAATAAATTCTTGACAGTTGAGACTCCAGAGAAAGAACAAACTGATGGGCATCATCTTCACCCATGTTCATATTCATAATATATTTGAAGCATTTCCAATGCATTCGTCATTGCTACCTACTGTAGTTTGTAGAAAGCTTTCTTAGAATAAGCCAACCCTGAGGGTGATTGACGGTTCAGACGACTTTAGAATGTGTACATACAACTGTAAGTACCTACTTACTGTAAGTTTAACATACTACTCTGAAGGCACTTGGGCTTCTGAGATTTGAAAGACTTCTACACATGGCCAGAACAATTTTGAGATAACATGTTCCCTTCTACTAAAGGCTACATATGTGTGTGTGCACTATAATATATGTAAAATATATTAACATATGCTGCATTTATTCATATATTACATCTATACATATATGTGTGACTGGTTTGGAAAATGCTACAAGAAAGACAAGGAACTTTGTTTTGTGTGCTGATTGCAGGGAAATGGGCATATTTATCATCCAACTCTGGCTCTTTAAGAAGGGAAGGAACTCCTACTAATAATTATACTGGAACATGTGGACCCTATGCAGTCTCCAACAAGCAGAGATACACTCTCCGGCAATACAGAGCAGGAAGAAATTCTCACAAGAAATGAGGTAAGGATTCCTGAGACAGGAAAACACTGACTGTGGGATCTACATTTGATTCCTCAGATAAATTCTCTTCTGCCATACCAGAATCAACAAAGGTGGGCTCCTTACTTGTTGCTGTGTTGACACTGTATTTCTGATTTTTTTTTTTAACATGGGCATCATGTATTGCTCAATTATACCAGAGTTTCTCAAGCGAGGCCAATTTAGGAATTGCATCGGACTCAATGGGGCTGGCTGTTAAAATGTCAGTTCCTGGGTCCTGTGTTCCACCTTAGGACTGAATATGGCCTTTTAACAACCCTAAACGATTCCTGCATATACAAAAGTTTTAGAGTTTCAGGGGCTAGGGTTCATTTGGTTGCCTAGTACTGAAACTTTAATGGCTTAAGCATAAGGGGAAGTTATTAGATTGTGATATTTGTAAGATAAAGGATGTCTTCCTTTTGGGTACTTTGACTCAGGGATCAAATTCCATCTTTCACTAGGCTTCTTCAGTGTTGGCTTGACTCATACTCTGGTTCCCAACAGCCTCCTACTCATCATTACAGCATCCTGAAACATAAAAACAAGTGTTAGAAGTAATTCTCTCACTGACCTGAATGAAGTTCAGTATGCCTGGAATGATACGGCTTAAATATGTATTCAAGCCCCAGAAGATAAGCCAGACTGGAAACCAATTCAAATCCTATGAACTGAGAGATGAATGTGAGCAGTTCTTTTAAGCAAAATTACAATGCTTCTACCTGAAAGAAAGAAAGCAAAAGTGAAATAACAGAAGTAATTAGTATCCAATCAACTGCCTCATACTGAGTGTATCTTCAAATTGAAAATCTTAGGCATTTAGGAAAGGATACACTTCCTAGAATACAAAATTAGAAACACAAGCCAAATGAGAGTTGACTCTTCTGAGACATTGACATTCAAATTCCTAATTCCTTGTGTATCTGGTTTTAGAGCCAGCCTTTGAACAGCAGAAACACACGGTTGGGATTGGTACATCAGAGGGAGGGTCAGGTGAGCAACAGAACATAGAAACTGTACAAACTAACAGTAACCAAAACTTGTAATCTCTTAGTGATTGTTTATGCTTAAGAGCATTGATAGCTCAACAACATCTTCAAATACAACAGACAACCTGAACTACTCATACATGATGCATTCATTTGTTATTCATTGAATCACTTCATATTTTAGTTTAAGCTGCTAGAACAGAAGAAAATTCCATAAAGTAGGTGACTGAAGTAAGAGAGATTATTTATCACACTTCTGAGAACTTGCTTCCCAATCTGCAGTTAGCCACTGTCTAACTGTCTAACACATTATGGACAGAATGCCTTTTCTCCCTTTTAAAGGCCTTGTTGTGCCAGGCGCCGGTGGCAAGCCCAGAGTTCAAGCCCTACGACCGACAAAATAAAAAATAAAAAAATTAAAGGTCTTGATGTTATTCTCTAGGATACTGCCCTAATTCCCAAAGGAATCGGAGCTTCCATGTCAGAATTCAGGAGGTATACATTCAGCACATAGGACTCTAAAACTAGTATTTTATTTTGCTAATCTAACACCTAGATGATGTCTACTGAGGGAACAAGAAGTAAGTTAAAGTGAGTGCCATACTATGAAAGGAGGAGATGAATATAGAAACTGATATAATATGAAAGTATGTACAAAATAATTTGAAATAGAGATGTTATAGGAATATGTTCATTCTGACTGGACAAATCAAGGAATACTGCATAGAGGAAGCAGTCTTCAAACCATACTCTGAAAAGTAAGAAACGTTCACAGAAGAGCTCTATGTAGATGCTATCATTATTACTGTCTGATAGCTCTTTGTAGTTGTAATACAAATGCTGAGAAAAAAATGTGATTGCATTTTCATTTCTTTTCCAAAAGCATTTATTGGACATCTGAAATGTGCCAAGAGTAGGACTAGGTTAATAATGAATAAGCAAAAGTCCTGATCTTAAATTATTTAATAGTGTAGTCAAGTAGACCAACATGCTGAGAGATAGTTTGGGGGTGTAGTCTATAAGTCTCAGCCTATGGGAGCATTTTAAAGGCTATTTGCAATTTGTCTGTGACTATCTTCTCAACCAAGACCACAAAACAATGCCAACATCTCTTAGGTAACTGCTGGACATTCTGATAGAGGTGTTCTCCCTCTGGGGAAGGGAGAAGGATGAGGAGCTGTCAGTACCAGCATTGCCACAGCCACTGGGTTGCTTTAGTAAAGATTCTGAAGCAACATACCCTGTGGTCAGGTATTGAATTACTTCTGGGTTTTGCAAAACATTCAATGGAACTAGTTTTATGAGAATGAAGGTAAGCATCATATGGTTTTCTTTCTTTCTCTTTCTTTCTTTCCCTCTCTCCTTCCTTCCTTCCTTCCTTCCTTCCTTCCTTTCTTCTTTCCTTCCTTCCTTTCTTCTCAAAATGACAGGGATGTTGACTATACATTTGAAGGAAATAAATCCACAAGCCTACTTTTGCTACTTGTAAACAACAACTGAAAATAGTAACGTATATCAGAGCCAAAGATTTGGAAAAGGACCGGAATTATGCATTAGACTCAATGCATTACTAGTATGTTTAGGGGCCAATTATTTCTCTGATTCTCACTTCTTTTCATGTAAATGGGAATTTTAAATCTACTTCAAAGAGTGGTGGTGAGAATTAAATTAGATAGAAGACTTAAATGTTTCACAAACTGCCAAATGCCAGGTGTTTCCTAATGGTTCTTACTGTCATTTTTCAGAGACCCATTTATCTAGTCATTATAATTTATGCAGGTAGATCCAATGTCACTCTCTGAGTTCATGAAAACATAATTTCTGAGCATTCTTTGATTACTTTGCGTCTGGTCCCATGTTTGCTGCTGGTGATTATAAAGATCAATAAAATACTGTTCCTACTTCTTGTGACATGAGCTTGTACTTAGACTCTTACTAAGAATTTTCTTAATTGTTCTTAGATCTACCTCCTCTATGTCAGCCCCCATTTCTTAGCAACTCCCTTCCTCTCTCCCATTCAAGAAACATATTCTAGTCTTTGGAGGTGGTCAGTGAGAGCAATGAAATAAGAATACTTTTCCTTTCCAGACAGAAGAGCCAAGAGCCACAAATAATTGCTTCAACTGCCACCAATGAGAGAAGAAACAGAGTTGTATTAAGGAGCATTCCCCACTCACAGGATATGGGGTTAATACAGCTTATACAGCATTTGATGTTTCAGTTTCAGGGTATTGCTGGATTCATTGTAGCTGTGTGACTACCATTACTGCCCTTTTTTACATGGGAAGGAGTATATGGGCGTTACATAGCCATGTTGCAATAGTGAATGTCAGGCAAAGCCAAGATAATTTACAGGTTTCTATGTCTAGATCCCACATTGACATAGAATTTGCTATTAGATCAAGTTGCAAAACAAAATGAGATTTCAGGGTATCCCCTGGGGAGAGGTATATATAACACTTTTAAGTCAAAGGTGGGGGGGGATATAAATATTTGTGACCATAAATGGAGAACGTAGTAAATTAGACAATCATTCCCAGTTACTCCCTCCTCCTGCACACATCTGTTTTAGGACCCCACCTGGGGTCCTAAAACTCTGGGACTCTTAAATATACCTCTTTACTTCACTGACATTTAATTTGGCTTTGGCTTACAACCAATGAATGGATAGTTCATATGCCATCTTTGAAAAGAAGCTTTAAAGGCCATGATGGCCTTTTTCTGACTCTCTTGTTCTCTTCCCTTTTCATCAAGGAGGCAGCATCCTGAGTGGCTTATCCTCCAGCTTTGCTCCTAAAATGATGACACAGAAAGCAGGGCAGTCACCCCACGACACAATGCCTGAGTCAGACTGAAGCAGAGACAGGACAACTCAGAATGAAAGAGGATTTGCCAGCTGCTTAAAACAGGAATTGAACCTTATATGATTATGCAATCTGATGAGAGAGTTAAATTTGTTTATTTGTTTGCTTTTCCTGGTGGCTCATGCCTGTAATCCTAGATACTCAGGAGGCTGAAATCTGAGGATCATGGTTCAAAGCCAGACTAGGCAGGAAAGTCCAGGAGACTCTTATCTCCAATAAACTATTCAGAAAAAGCCAGAATTGGTGATGTGGCTCAAGTGGTAGAGCACTAGCCTTGAGCACAAAGAGGCTTAGGGCCAGTGCTCAGGCCCTGAGTTCAAGCCCCAGGACTGGCCTAAATAAATAAGAAGTTTTCAAAAAGCAACACCTAACCAGAAGTCACAGGAGATTTGGCTAGGTTCAGAAGATGGACATGAAGTAGGGGAAAGCAAGTAAAACTAGAATCCCCACGAACCAGCTGGAACACTGACAGCTATATTGGGCTCTTACTAGGTCTGAGCCTCTACCTTTAGTGCCAGGAGTGTTCTGAAAAAAAAAAAAAACAACAACTCATGGTCTTGCTGCATAGTCACATCCAGCTCTGGGTGAGAATTTATAAAGCTGATGGAAAGGAAGCATCCACTCATTTCACAAACTGAGCCAAAAGGTCTGTGGAAATGTATCTGCCCTATAACAGTCAGATGAACATTGAGCCTCAAGTAATCAGCACAGCTCCTTCTTCTCCATCTCCACTTTCAAAACTTGTATGTTTTGTTCTTTTTTTTTTTTGGTCCAGTCATGGGGCCTGAACTCTGGGCTTGGGCGCTGTCCCTCAGCTCTTCAGCTCAAGGCTAGCGCTCTACCACTTGAGCCACAGAGCCACTTCTGGCTTTTTTCTTTTTGCTTATGTGGTTCTGAGGAATCAAACCCAGGGCCTCAGGCATACAAGGCAAGTGCTCTACCACGGAGCCACCTTCTCAGCCCCTATGTTTTGTTCTTAACATCCATCCTAACTAAAATAAAATAAAAGGAAAGAAGTCTAGGAAATGTAATTTAGATTAGGCAAAGTGACATGATAAAGCCATCACATGGGAAAATAAAAGTTTATTGCTATAAACAACTGGGATTTGGAGGGTGATTTTTGCTGTGGCAGGATGGATGTGACAAAATAACTAATCTTTCATTCCTTCCAGATTATTAGCCTTTCCAGGCTTTGGACCATATATCTCCTTCTGGCCCTGATCAAATTTTGCACAATGTTTTGCAAAGAGCCCAGCCAGACTTAGATGACAGAAAGTCATACTCACATAGTAAGTGTCTTTTGTGTACTAGATTCTGTTATTCATAAAATCAAGAATAGAAAACAGAAAACCTGGGTGATATGATCCTAAAACTCACAGTAGAGGAAAGAAGACAGCAAGGAAAATTGTGATGCATGCTTCTAAGGAAACTTGTAGAGAAGCATGCTCTATAACATGGTCTGGGAGAAGCAGAGAAACTGCTCAGAGAAAGAGCTATTTGGAATGAGAGATCGAGACAAAAGGCCAAACTTGAGCAGTGTAAGAAGGCTGAAAGAAATCCAGTATGGTTTACTTCTAGAGGAAACATAGGGTAGGGTAGGTAAGAGGCTGGAAAATAGGCAGGCTAGAACCCCACAAGGCATCATTGATTATAGGGATGATTTTGAACTTACAATGGGAAAGGAACAATGCAAGCCATTGAAATATTTAGAAGAGTGCTATAATCATTTATCCATATAGAAAAAGATCATCCCAGCTGTGGCTTGATGAAGATATCAGAGAGAGGGAATATTGGTACCAAATTCAGGCAGAAGAATGTGGCAGTGGGAGCCCCAGAGGAGAAAATGGAGAGAAAGAGCCACACTTGAGAGCTACACAGGCAGTAGTTTGGTTTCTCCTAATTTTCTGGCTTGATCCATTAGATAGAATTTGATGTCATTTAGCAAAACACAATGTACAAGAAAAATATGAGGTTGGGGTAGAAAGAAAAGATAGCAAATACAGGAGGGGTTAAGTAAGCAGATATTATTATTATTTATTTTCTGTAGTATTTTTTAATTAATTTATCAAGTTCAGAAATCTATAGCATTTTTTTCTAAAGTGTTCTCAAGCATCCTGGCTATCAAATATCATCCTATAGAGCAGCAGCGTCCAGCAGGAACTGGCAAGAAATGCTACATCATTCCTACTTACTTTTACATGATCCTGGGCAGTTCACAGCAAATTGCAATATGTGAAATACAACTCTGGAACACAGATGTTTGGAGATGTTATCTGGGCAAATATTTCTCCAGGCAAATAATTTTAAGCAACAATAAGACCATTTTACTTATGTGTGGTTATAATGCCAAATATAATTTAAAAGATATATAGTGATCTCTATTTTGTAGAAGTCTTTTTTTCTAGGACTTTTCATTCTTACATATACTGCTTATCTCTTTCCCTGTGCACACACGCATCCTCTGTCGATTGGGGAGGACTGAGCAAACTGTGGAACATATTTGAAGCAACTCTAATTTTCTATCAACAGAACAAAAGTTCAGAAGTCAGGATTTGCCTGGACTTTAATTCACATATTGTTGATTCTCCAAGTTAATTGATGATTTATTATATGAGCTGCACTATTTTTTGTTCCTGATGCTATAGAAATTAGGAAAATAAAAATATTCTTAGTCCTTTCAAATCATTACAACCAATCAACTGTAAGCCATACTACATGTTGAGAAGTGCTAAGGAAAAGCATGAAGTGAAGCAGGAGAGGAATAAGGAGAGAGCAGAGGACAAGCCATCAGGCAATGTGAAGAAGAAAGCCCTGTGGCTATCTAGAAATGTCCTAGGTCAATGGGGACACTGAGGTTAACGATTCAAAGCAGGAGACAACTGGATCTGAAGACAGGAGAGCCCTGGAGAAGTATGGATGGAAATCCAGCTCTGGCCTTTGGCAGTATGAGAGAAAGCCATCCCAAACTTTCTGATCTTACTACTTCCATTTCATCACATGCACTTGGTGGACTGTGTGATATTTAAATCAAGTGTTGAACGTATAGTGTTGAGTGCAATGCCTAGATTATAGAAAATGTTCAAAAACATATGAGATAATCACGACTAGTCCTATGTAAACAATACAAACCTGGAAGCCATCTCATCTGGATTTGAATATTCAATGCTTCAGAAGAACTTGTCATGTTGCACAGTATTGGTGTGTGGGTGGAGGGGGGAATCCCAAGGAGTAGATGACATCAACTTTTCTGCTAGCCTGAACAACCTAGGCCTCAAAAAAGTGAGTTTATAAGAAACTAATAAGAAATATATCTCCTGTACTTTTGTGGAGGACTCAATTTTCCCCTCATTTCTTTCATCTCGTTTGATTCTCCAAAGGACCCTGTGAGGTATATGTTGTTGTATTTGAGAAAATTGTAACTTAGCGCTTAAGTACAGAATCCAAAGCCACATCACTAGTATGGTAGATAGTTTAAATCTCATTCTGTGAGTACAAAATCCATACTCTTTCCACGTCTTAATGCTGCCTGAAAGTTTATGGAATGGGTTGTTCTTTTATCACTTAAACAGCATACATGTGTAGAGACACATGAGCAGTATCAAGTTCTTTAGGTGCTATAAAAATATAAATGAAAACATAATATGCCACCTGTAGAATATTTGAAAAAACCAAGATTTGTTCCATCAACATATTATCACTGTAACAATTTTCCTAAGCCTGTGCTCCTACTGTCTAACAGTGTTCTGTATTGAGTAGCACCCATGTCATTATTCTCTATGCAGTTAAATAGTTTGGACAAAAAAAACTAAGTAACAATGCACTACTTATAATTGAATATAACCAGAAGATGACAAACAAGAAAAAACAACTTGGCTGAAAGTTTTTCTCCAGTTCCTGAATCTTGGGGTTAGTTGTTAACTCAGAAAATCAACCCTTAAGCAACCACAGTATATAATGTGGCCATATTCCAGGGTTGCAAATCCTCAGCGGCTGGTCCAGGAGACTGTCAGGAACTGCACCAGATCCTCAATGTGAATATCACTGATGTGAGCCTGACAGGAAGTGTGACCTCATTCTGATGTTCTGCCACTGGTTACGCAGACTGCTTTTGAAAGAAAACAAGCAGGGCTGTACAGCTGACTTTCACAAGACCTATACACTCTTTTCTAGGATACAGATAAAAAACAAGCAACCATTGAAGACCAAAGTCTCTGCAATTGCACAGGACAGAGGTGTGTGTGTGTGTTTAAAGGGAAGATGGGATTTCCTTTGTGAAGAGACTTCTGCACTTGTTGACATCCTGAAGCTACTTCCAGCTGAAGAACTGCTCAGCCTTCAATATTGCTGCCAGCCACAGGAAGCTTCGGATTTCAGTATTTGTTCTATCATTTCTCACCTGGAAGAAGAGACCAGGATCTCCTCTGGAAGGAACATGTATGAACAAATTATTTTTTTTCTTGAAAAGTTCTAGAGTTGTAAGGAGAATTGTTTTCTCTATGACTAATTCTTGCCTGAAAGTCACTGTACTGCCTATAGACAGCTACAAACATTTATGATGCAAAACAGTAAAATCTTGCTTCCTTCTGCAGAATCTGCTGCTTCATTAGTTCAGAACTAATGTACGGTAATTTGGACTGGGCATGTTCAGAACATATTGATCAAAATTGAAAGAGAATGACATGCTACTGTATCAGATTGTAAACCATATATTATTTTTATTCCAAACAAATGGGATTTTGTAAATGTGTGCTTTGCTTTAGAGATCTTCCAAGGAATGTTAGAAAAATCTCCCTATCTCTTTAAAGGGAATTTACCAGCTTGATGATACATTTTAAAAATATGTTTGTATATTCTTTACTGAAGTAGGCATTTTGGCATTTTAGAATTGGCATGAGTGATTTATTGTTTGATGCTTTCAAAACAATCCAATACTAGCTATCATTTTTTTAATGGTTAGAGTAGTGAATCAGATCTTGCAAAGCTCTTAGTGTAGTTATATATAAAAAGCCCAATAGTCAACAGAAGGTAGACTGTTGTAAGAAAAGTAAATGATCCAAGTTTACATAAATTACAAATTTACATAAATTACACATTGATACTTGCTTAATTCGTAACTGAAGAAACACATTACATGTTGACGGGAACTGACTTTTGGTATCTGCTCAGACTGAACACTATTTTGAGCTCTGTGTTCGTTTAGGAATGTCCAAGCTGATAACAAGCTGATAATAATTACAAAAACAGCACAGAGCCTCAACCGCTTGTCAATGGTTCCAGCCATTGGGTAGAAGACAGACACTACCTTCAATTTTGTAAAGCTAATAAACGTAATGAGTCTGTTTTGTGTCAGATGACTTAAATACAAATAAATGTATTGGAGAGAGAGTGGAGAAGACTGTAGAACCAGTCATTTTGCAGACTTCTGAATTAAGTAACTCACACTATTTTGTCTGAATGACAAATCAGCCTTTGTAAGTCTTGCTTTCCCAAATAAAGTACTTTATTTCCAGGAAAAGATGAATCAGATTAGCTGAGGGATACAATAGAACACAGCATACCAAGTCTTTCAGGCAGACCCATGCTTACTGAAGCCTTACAATCTGGTCTCTTGCCTTCAATCCTCCATCCCTATACTATTTCAGCAAACAAATCTGACTAGTGCAATTAGTAGATGCCATCTGTTTTGGCATCCTTTTTTCTATTTTTATTATATAGTCCATCTTTTTTTGTAATGTCTTTTGCAGAAAATCTGTGAAGTTTGAACGAACGGCCTTCCCAAGATGCACCGAATCTCTCAACTGATGTCGACCCCAGTAGCAAATAAATGTAGGAGAACTGCTATGCGTAATTATCTTTGGAACGATTAGACTTCTTTTTAGCAATTTCCTTGCTTTGATTTTGCTGATACTCAGACCATTAACCATCTGTCAGTAGCTTGTGCTTCTTAAATGCCAGTGTGCGTGTTGGCAATGATTTTGACTTCATCTCTTTCCTTGAGAGAAATGTGGCATTTTTTCTTCTTAGTAGAATAAAATAATCACCAAATTTAAGATGCCTGTGCATAAATGTGAAAAGAGATTGTTTATCAGCTACAGTTAAGATGCAAAACTGTCTAGAAAAAATGCTGAATGATTTTGACAACTACTTTCAGAAAACAAGGGCGTTGTTAAAACGGTAGTGGTTTCACTGCTTCCTTCCTCTTGTTATTTTCTCCTTCAACCCCACTTCTAACTCTCTCTCACAAACCCACAATTTTCTCCTGACAAACCAACCAGCTCAATCCTGAAGGTGTAAATTTCTGTGCTTGTGTTGGGAAGTAATTGTCCCTGAAGGAATCAACTTTCACGGGGCCTAGCTCTAAGACTTACTGACTTGCATCGCTTTATGTTTCAAAATGTTGCACTAGAATTTAGTTCACTAAGCAGCTGAAACTCTCCCCAGACCAATGGCTACATCTGTAGCTAAGCTTGAATGGATGAATGGATGCTCTCTAATAAAGATAGCTCACAGGCTTCATATATTGGAAAACCTTACAGATTATGTTGTCTGATGTCTTCTGCCCACTACCTTACATTAGAAGTCTGTTTAAATGCATTAACCTGGAAGAAACTGGGCAATGACTGAATTCCTCAGATTACTGAGTAAGCAGCAATAATCAACACATTGGAAATTGATTGCAGTTTCCCCTAGCTTTACATGTGATGTTTTCTTCCTTTCCTAAGCTCTGTTTGGGGTTAGTGATTTAATTATTGTCAAATTCTGCACTAAGGAACTTCTGGAAGATGGTAGGGTGTACGAAGAGACAGAATAGGGAAATTCCTGTATAATTTTTTGTTCCCTGTAGGGACTTGAGGACAAGTTGTGTTAGGCTGATGTGTTAGATGGGTTTACTACTCTGATCTTTCTGCTGGGGGTGGTTATCAGCTATTCACACACTTTTGGTCATACTTGTTTGGTGAGATGTAAAACTTTCTTTTGTATTTGTTTATGCAGATTCTTCCAGGTCAGATAGTGAACGTGATAGAGAGCTGTCTCCTGAGTGCCTTTTTGCAAGGTAAGGTGTGAAGCTTTTCTCAACCATCAGATTCCTTTCCTGACTGTCTTATTGTGTCCTGGCTTAGAAATATCATTTTATCTATCATGCAGATTTTGTGGGCCTATGTCTCTCCAGCTCTATCTCAAAACAAAATGCAATCTTAATCCAGGAATAAAATCCTTTCTTTGGAACATGCCTGCATTTTAAGTGTAGAGAGGTGTAACTTATTTCTTTACTAAGTGGAGAAACTGTATTGAACACAATGGATGGGTACTTTTGCCCCTTCAGATGTTCTTTTAAATATGCTTTCCCATCTCATTTTATTTTAAGAGCCACCATTCCCCATCAGTGCACTGGGTGGCCACATCTTATGCACCACTCAAACAAGTAGATTCTAGAATTTGTCAGTGGAGTGTCTGCTTTGCCACCCCATTTTTCTCTTTGATCTTTTGTCATCAGTCTCATTCTTTCCACAGGTATCCATTGAAATTTCTCCCCAGCGTTTGTCTTTTCTCTCTCTAGATTTGCCTGTGACTTCCTGGATGGTGACAGTTCTTTCGAATGCTGTTCCATAGATCCCTTGACAGGATGCCATCATGCCTGCCGCAGGAGTCCCAGGCTCCTCACCAATGGCTACTACATCTGGACAGAGGACAGCTTCCTCTGTGACAGCGATGGGAACATTACCCTGAACCCCTCTCAGACCAGTGTTATGTACAAGGAGAACTTAGTTAGGTAAGCAGAGAAAATTGCATAACAGTCCATCCATCATTCATCCACTCAATAATCATTTATAAGGAGCTCATTACTGGTTGAGACTGTGGACATCAAAAAAGGAATCCAGGACAGGGATACCTAAGGTGAAAACGAAAATGAACTGAAGCAATCCAGATGCAGAGATATAGATATGTAGAATACAAATAGGGTAGAGAGTAAAAGAGAGAAGCCTATACTTGTGAAAGAGGTAAAGGAGCTTCCTAGAGATGGTGGGGATTAAGTTGAGTCCTAGAAGATGGGTTATGTTAGATAAAATGAAGTGGGAAGTGGGGAGAAGGCACAGACATAAGGTCCTGAGAATCCTGGAATAGTTAGGAAATGTACAAAGCTTGGCAAGGATAGACCCTGGGTGGGAAGGGAAGGGGAAGTCTGCAAGAACAAGGCTGAGCACATAAGAAAGGATGGGGTGGAGGGAGGTTACCATCACACTGAGACTGGATTTTATTCTGTAGATGAAGAGGAGCCAAGCAAAAACGATGTGATTTATATTTAAAAGTTAAAAATGATTGCAATGCAGAGATGGATGCGCGGGAGTGTGTGTGTGTGTGTGTGTGTGTGTGTGTGTGTGTGTGTGTGTGTACATACGCACGCACTCCCACACCTATATGCCCCAGTATTAAGGCTTAATCTCAGGACCTGGAACTCTTCCTTAGCTCATGGCTGGTGTTCTACCAGTTCAACCATAGCTCCGTTTCCTGCTTTTTGCTGGTTAAGCTGAGATAAGCATCTCACAGACTTTTCTGCTTTGACTAGCTTCAAACCATGATCCTCAGAGGATTACATGCCTCTGGCACCCAACTCGGAGGATTCTATATTGTGAAGAATTGTTCTGCACACTGTAGGATATTTGCAGTGTCTCTGGCTTGTACTACTCATCTGCCTGGGTAGAATTCCTTCCTTAGTATAACAGTAAAAGATAGGTCTCCAGATATAATCAAATATTTCTTAAGGACCAGAATCACTCTGGCTGAGAATCATCAGCATAAGAATGCCCAAGGTTTACAGCAATCCATCTCAATACTGCGGGAAACCCAATCCAAAATGCATCTTCTGAGAGCAGCTGAGGACGCCCCCGCAGGAGAGCAGAATGTTATAAAGGGAAAAGTGTCCCATTTCCTCTTTGCATTACTTGGCTTCAGTTCAGACTCCCTGCGTTTCTCACCAGTATAATGTGTTTAACACAGAGCTTCGCACAGGCCATTCAGGCACCAACAAAGTTACTCTGTTTTGTGCTCGCCTCGCCTCTCTGCCCTCAATCTGGGCCCTCATGCCATCCTGTGTGCTTGAAAGTCTTTTGGAACGGCAAACCAAACCATGTCAACAACATTCATTTCCCCTCCTCTCCATTTTGCTCTAATATTAAACTTTATGAACTGTCTCCCCCTGTTTTGGTGGTACTAATTTTGAACCCAGGGCCTTACATGCTTTGTTGGCTTGCTTGGCTGGTGCTCTACCATCCAAGCACTTGAGGCATGTCTCCACTCCTATTTTTTTGCTGGTTATTTTAGAAACAGAGTCATATGGACTTTTTTTTTGTCTAGGAGACTTCAAATCATTCTCTGAGGTAACAGGCCTGAGCCACTGGAGCCAACATGATCTGTCCCTTTTACCTCTCCAGCCTTATCTCCAAGAATGCTCCAAGATCCAAGAAAGTCCCCTTTGTTTTTCCATTAGCATTGCCTTTCCAGTGCTCTCAAATCAGCCTCTTAGTAAGACTTGTAGGACATGTGTCCCCAACATGCCATGGGGCGCACAAGAGGCTATGGAGCTCCATTGTCTGGGGCTGCTAACCAGCTCTGTCATTTACTTTCTGGATGGCCTTAGCCAAGTAACTTAACCTTTTGGGCCTTAGTTTCCTGACCTCAGAAATGAACAACAAAATGGTGAGACAAAGGACAAAGGGGGAACCAATGCGACAGCGATACACACAAGACACCCTATTGAAAATGATCAGTACAACTGGAGGGTGAAGTTGAGGGGAGGTAAAGGGGGAGAAAAATGAAGGAGGGGGTAACAAGTTCAACAAAAAATATACTCACTACCTTACTTATGTAACCATAATGCTCTGTACATCACCGTGACAATAAAATTTAAAAAATAAATAAACACACACACAGCAAGAGTTAAATCGTTGACATCAAGATGTATTTAAAAGTAAAATACTAAAAATCTGAAGAAGTCTTTCTTACATTGAAACACAAAATAAACTAATTATAAAAATGAGTAATAACAGTACCTATCTCATGTGACCATTTTAAGGGTGAGATGAGTTTGTCTATGTAACACACTGAGAAAGCTACCTGGCACAGAGTTAAGGAACACATTAGATATATCTGTATTGTTCTTGCCATTCTCCCACAGTACATTATGACACATGATTTTGTTTTTATCTCAGTATCCTTGATATTGACCCAACATCCCAGCACACAGCAGATTCTGAAGAAATATCTCTGGATTTCCCATAGTATGGGGATTTGGGGCATAAAAGACCATAGTTAGAAATGCTACCCCAAACCTAAGCTATACCTCAACTCCAAGGCTACATATGCTCTCTTTTTGCTCTAACAAATGGAATTTATCCTTACAAAATAGTTCTAAACTAATCAAGAGACTAATTAAATCATTTATATGTTTAAAGAAAGAAAACTGATGCTCTATCAGTTCAACCATAGCTCCGTTTCTTGCTTTTTGCTGGTTAATCTGAGATAAGCATCTCACAGACTTTCTGCTTTGACTAGCTTCAAACCATGATCCTCAGAGGATTACATGTCTCTGGCACCCAACTCGGAGGATTCTATATTGTGAAGAATTGTTCTGCATATTGTAGGATATTTGCAGTATCTCTGGCTTGTACTACTCATCTGCCTGAGTAGAATTCCTTCATTAGTATAACAGTAAAAGATAGGTCTCCAGAAATAATCTATGTATCAAGCCTTTCTCACCAGATTCTGTTTCAATTCTGCTACTTATTGTTCACTAGGCTACTTCCATTTCTTCCTAGAGTATTCCGAAAGAAAAAGAGAATCCGCCACACTCTTTCTTCTTTCTTCAACCCCAGAGCCTCTAAATCCTGGCTGGATGGAAGTATCTTCGATGATATAAATTCTTCCCCAAATGAGGAAAGCTGGCTGGAAGATGTCAGGAGGCCAGATATACATCATCACAATGAAAATGGTGAGTTTGAATCTCACTTCCTGTAGTGAAGCATACTTCCAAATGGGTAGTGTTGGGCATAAGGTTCTGGACCAGTTTCCAATCCACAGAGATGATCATCATTTTGATATGAGAGAATAAAGCACTGACCCAGGTCTATCTGTGTCAAAAGCCTAGACTGTACTCTTTGTCAGGAAGATTGTACTCTCCTTTCAGAAGTCAAATACAGAAGGTCCCTCAGTATCCAGTCCCAAAGAACAAATTAGTAAGAGTCATATAATAATAATTTGAGTGTATAGTGCTTATAGTTATATGCCTACTATTTTTCTCAAGCTGGTTCCTGGTAGAAAAAGTCAAGTACTACATTAAATTTTTTAATCTTTTAATTTGCAGTAATTATTTTAAAATTCATGTGATCTTGCAAAATAATACATCCAGTTTTGCCCACAACTAACAATTTGTGCAAATACAGAACATCACCAAAAATTTTAAAGTGACATTGACACCAAGTTATGAAGACGCCATTGTGTGTCTGTTTGCACATATGCACAAAAAGTACTAGACTTATTTTTAAAATAGAATAAGAGTTTGTTAAGTGAAGAAACAATTCCTCAATATAAACAGATGGTTAATAAAACCAAGTAAATTCCTGAATAACAAAGAAACACATGCAGGACCTGAAGAGAATGGGCTTGCAAAGATGGATGGCGATTGGCTAAATAACCAATGTGCCATGCTAGAGGTTGGGTTTTTATCTGATAAATTGTGGATGTTTTTGCAGCACCTTAAGCTGCATCAGATTTGGTTGTTCAAAGTTACCTTTGTGGTAACGTGCAGTGAAGAATGGCTGGGGAAGAGTTAGTGGGAGCTCAGAAACAATTTCAAACCTGTATGTTAGGAATTGGTGCGGGAAACAGAAAGGAGGAAAGAGACTTAAGGAATATCTTTTGAGTTCAAAATGGCAGTCTCTGGGAACCACCAGAGACTAAAAGATAGTAAGGCAAAGTGATGAGGAGAATGGTCTTTGGAGTTGGATGGGCCTGAATTCAAGTCCTTTCCTATTTAAGTGTTTCTAGGGAAGTTAATTAACCCTCTGGTTCTCTGTGTATTCATTTGTATGAACAGAAAAATAATAGCACAAAAGAATTCCTATGAGAATGAAACAAGGGTAATTCATTAAAAAGTACCATCAGAGCACAGGACTGGTATCTTGTGTAATACCTATTAGCTCTACAAAAACAAAAACAGAAGAAAGGTACAGATTAAAGTCAGGGGAAGAAACAATGAATCGCATTTTATATGGGTGGTATTTGTGGTGTTTATGGGACCTAGGAAGATAACCAGTCAAAATTGGTAAACCAGACAAGGAAATTCATGAGCAAGAAAGGATCCAGAGATACCAATTTAGAAGCCAACCTGAGAAACAGGAATGGTTTTTGGAGTAAAAAAATCTACCTATGTGCAATAAGTAAGTTAGCAAAGAGAAGCATAGAGCAAAAAATTTCAGCGTATTGAACTGAAGACTAAGAACAAGTGTTTTCCAATTAATAGTAATGAGCTTTATAGATCAACACTAACCAAGACCATAATATGATATATTATTGCAAAGTCCCAGAACCGTCAGGAGGTTTATTATGCCTATCTCCACTTTCTAGGGCAGGAGGCTAAGGCAGATCAGATACTTCCCATGCAACCTTCCCATGCAAGGACAGGATTCAACTTTAGTATGTGCTGCTAAGCCCTATGCTGTATTGGGAAAAGGCTCTGGGACAGAGGACCCTAGACTCCTGAGAGAAGACAGTACAAAGAAACAGCTAGTGGTATCCATATTGAGTAAGATTAATCTAGATATTCCATAGCCTTTGGGGAGTTTCAGGAGGAGGGACGGATGGAAATTCTACATGGGATCTCCACTGAGAAGACAAAAGAGAGGTCATCTTGCTGACTCAGCATCCCCAACAGATTGGTGCAAATACCTACATTAATCAGAAATACTTGCTATGTTTTCATTGCCACAGTTGGGATAGCCTCAAAGTAGACAATCCAACCTTGAACACTTTCTAATCTCAGGACATTTTAATCACCTTCAAAGTGAAAGCCTGTTCTCATTAGCTGTCATCCCTCATTCCCTGTCACCCCCAAACAATCATTAACCTACACTCTATCTCTATTGATCTGCCCATTTCAGACTGTCATTTTTAAAAATTATTAATGTAGAATTGACAAATAAAAACTATATATATGTGTGTGTGTGTTGTGAACAATGTGATGATCTGATTTATGTAAATACACTGAGAAATGGTTATGTCAAACTAACATATATCCATTAACATATTAACATATATTAACACGTATCTATCACCTCCATGTACTCGAAGATTTTCCTGCGGGAATATTTAGTTGCTCTGTTACCAATTTTCAAGTGTACAATGTATTATTAATATCTGTAACCTCCATGTTGTGTGACCTTGTTGACCTCTTTGATGGAAACTTACATCATTTGACTAGAATCTATCTTCCCATCCCCACCCCTACCTACTCCATTCTTTGGGAGGTTGTCTCGTTTCTCATTGACTAATGCTGTTTATGCCTGCCACCCAAATGCTTATTCAAGTTTCCATCTGGCCATTCTAGGTTAGCTTTCTAAAGCAAGTTTCTTCTCAGGTCTCAAGCAGTGTTTCCCCAAATGCTGATGGAGTTGAAGATGGTTTGGGGACCCAACAGAAATGAGCATTGTTAATTACACAATGAGAAAAATTAGGCCCCTCTTCAGATCCTTTCAGAATCCTGATAGAATCAAGAAGACCTGCTCAGTATAGAACTCAGTAGATTTTGATTCCCAAACACTTGCTATTTTTCCTTTTGTTTAAGTAAAGTTCTTTTTAGCAAAGAATGGTCTCAGAGAAGCTACAACAGTTACACAGCATAAATAGAAGGTTGTATTTTCACTGTATTTACTTTTAAACATTTCTTTTCTCTTTAGAACATTAAAATAAGTTCTATAAAGACTCCTTTAAAATAAAAGTATAAAAGGTGGTCCTTTGAAAAAAATATTAAATGACTAAGAAGAATTAAGTTTCTGGTATAGCAAAGATGGGGGAAACCATACTTGATGACTAAACTTTAGGAAAATGATTCCAAAGGCAATGTTTCTTACATTGGAAATTAACATTTACTTTTGCCATAGTTGCCTCTTCCAAATATGTCCAAACAAACTTTAAAGCAGTTGGACCACAGTGGTGCTGCACGTGCATGAGGTTTCTTATTAAAATTCTCATGGTTGTCAAATATCTTCTAAATATATAACAAATCAAACCACCCGGCTCCAAAATCAGTAATTAGTCAACCTGGATATGCCCAAGCTTTAGAAATCTCTCATCTCGGCTGTCAGCTATAATCAACCGTTCCTCAGACTTCTTATTTTCCTGATTTACCCGAGACTCCGTGACTTTTATCAGCAAGTTATTTTTTTTCTGGAAATATAGCCTAGTTGGAAGATTCCTGAAGAATTCAGAATTAAATTGTTTTGCTGTTTTCTCTCTGCGAAATGGATGCAATCAAACACTACTTCCCTCGATTTTCTCCCTAGCTTCATTTTCTTTTTAGGAGAGAGAGGATTTTTTTGCCTACTTGATTTGTCCTCAGTTCACCCCTTCCCCAGCTGTGTGAAGACACCTTTCTCATTAGCAGCAATTCAGTCTTTAGACAGGGCATTTCACAGCTCCTCAAACCCTACTACTGTAATACCAGGATGTGTTCCCAGAGTCTGTAAGTCATTCTCAAAGAGATTAGAGAATCTTACAGAGAAGTCTGAAGGCAAGCTTCCATAAGCTCTAATCCTGCCAGCCCCAGGACAGGCCCATCACTGTGCTTGTAGTCCCAGGTTTTCTCTAAAACAATAACTCTGCCATGATTTTCTTTGTTAAATAGTTTTGATGGTAACATCTACTCATGGGTCTGGGCTTCTCAGTACAAACAGCAATAATGTACTTTACATGCCAGGTATGGAAAGTCTCTGAAAAATGCAGAACTGACCTATTTTGACAGAAGCAAACTACTCTGAATTTAAAGAAATCAAGTGAAACAACATGAAATTAATGACCTTAAATGTAATACAACCAAAGTTAATATTGTTATTTGTTGTTACCAGTCAAGGAAATTGGGAGTTGGGGCCAAATCATGACCTTTCAGAGATGAAAAAAAAAATCTTTGGTCAGTTTTTAATCTTAGGGATTGTAGTTTCTGTGTTTAATGTCATCTCTTCTTCCTAGAAATTCTGTATAAAATTTCCAATACTCCACATAGAACACACTTCTTTTTTGCCAATCCTGAGGCTTGACCTGGGCGTAGGCACGGTCCCTGGGCATCTTTTGCTCAAGGCTAGCACTTTACCTCTTAGCCACAGCACCACTTCGGCTTTTTCTGTTTATGTGGTACTGAGGAATTGAACCCAGGACTTCCTGCATGCCAGGCAAGCACTCTACCTCTAAGCCACATCCCAGCCCCAAATAGACCAATTTTACTTTTTGTTTTTTGGTGGGGATTTTTTGTTTGTTTGTTTGTTTTGGGTTGTGGGCTTAAACTCAGGGCCTGGGCACTGTCCCTGAGCTCTTTTGCTCAAGGCTAGTGCTCTACCTCTTGGAGCCACAGCACCACTTCCACAGCTTTTTATTTTCATCCAGTTTTCAATGAGAAAGCTCTACATTCCATCCAGGAAGCTTGAGGACACAGCACAGGATCTTACTGTTGTCACAGTCTTGTCTACCTCTTCCCAGCCTCTCGTGCATATCTACTCAGCCATGGAAGTTCCCAGTTTTTCCTCACTTCCTTATTAATTTGGCCATCATCTAGCTTTTTTGTTTTTAAATAGCTCCAATAAGATATGATTAAGATACAAGAATTACACATATTAAATGTTGGCAATTTGATGAGTTGCACATGTGCCCCCTTGTGATACCATCACTACCATCACGATAATGATCATATCTAATATTCCCCAATGGTTCTTTGTGCAGTGTATG